TTCAGTTCCATGTGGCTCCATCGAGATGGTAGAATATTTGCAGAGCACAATAGCTGGCTAGAGTATCGATTCACTTGATAATATAAATGAATTGAAGCCATTTGAACAGCAATAGAGTGGACATTCCAGATTTAAAAAACTTGACACTAGTAAACTGACCTGAAGTGACATTTTACTAGCCTGGTCGCAGATTTGGAAAGCACAAATTCTTATGTTGATAACCCCAGGAGTTAATACAGAATAATTATTGTATTTATTCCCCTCCTGATCCTCAAAAACACAGGACAATAAAAAAGTAACCTACAAAATGACTAATATTATTCTGTGGAAAAACAAATAACTCAAATGAGCTTTTAGCTTCCCCAAATACAGTAAGGCTTTCAATAGGTCAGTCTTCAGTACGATTCAGCTTTTCCTTTAACAGTCAAGAACATGGAAATATTTTCAAATTAAATGTAACAAACATAATGAAACACATAATCAGTGATCTATGGAACAAAAGTGGAGGAAATCTTATTTCCAGAAAATCCAAATGTCACAGTGGATCACCACCTCAAATATCATGCAAAAGATATAGTTCCGCATTATTTTCAAAAAACTGATTTATACTGAACAAAAATCTAAACACAACATGTAAAGTGTTGGTGGCATGTTTCATGAGTTGAAATAAAAGATCCCATACACACAAAAAGCATGTATCTCTCAAATTCTGTGCACAAAATTGTTTACATCCCTGTTACTGAGCATTTCTTCTTTGCCAAGATAATCCATCCACCTGACAGGTGTGGCATATCAAGAAGCTGATTAAACAGCATGATCATTACACAGGTGCACCTTGTGCTGGGGACTATAAAAGTCTAAAATGTGCAGTCTCTAGTTTTGAGGGAGTGTGCAATTGGCATGCTGACTGCAGGAATGTCCACCAGAGCTGTTACCAGATAATTGAATGTTAATTTCTCTACCATAAGCCGCTTCCAACGTCATTTTAGAGAATTAGTACGTCCAACTGGCCTCACAACCGCAGACCGTGTGTAACCACACCAGCCCAGGACCTCCACATCTGGCTTGTTCACCTGCGGGTTCGTCAGACGAGCCACCCGGACAGCTGATTAAACTGTGGGTTTGCAAAACCGAAGAATTCCTGCACAAACTGACAGAAACCGTCTCAGGGAAACTCTTCTGCGTGCTCGTCGTCCTCACCAGGGTCTTGACCCGACTGCAGTTCGGCGTCGTAACCGATTTCAGTGGGCAAATGCTCATCTTCGATGGCCACTGGCATGGTGGAGAAGTGTGCTCTTCACAGATGAATCCCGGTTTCTGTACTGGGCAGATGGCAGACGCTGTGAACAGAGTGCCCCATAGTGCCGGTGGGTTTATGGTATGGGCAGGCATAAGCTACGGACAACAAACACGATGCATTTTATCGATGGCAATTTGAATGCACAGAGATACCGTGACGAGATCCTGAGGCCCATTGTTGTGCCATTCATATTTCAGCATGATAATGCACGGCCCCATGTCGCAAGGATCTGTACACAATTCTTAGAAGCTGTACATTCCCAGTTCTTCCATGGCCTGCATACTTACCAGACATGTCACCCATTGAGCATGTTTGGGATGCTCTGGATCAACGTGTATGACAGCGTGTTCCAGTTCCCGCCAATATCCAGCAACTTCCCACAGCCATTGAAGAGGAGTGTAACAACATTCCACAGGCCACAATCAACAGCCCGATCAACTCTATGCGAATGAGATGTGTCGCACTGCATGGGGCAAATGGTGGACACACTCGATACTGACTGGTTTTCTGATCCATGCCCCTACCTTTTTTAAAGGTATATGTGACCAACAGCTGCATATCTGTACTCCCAGTCATGTGAAATCCATAGATAGGGCCTAATGAATGTATTTAAATTGACTGATTTCCTTATGTGAACTGTAACTCAGTAAAATCTTTGAAATTGTTGCATGTTGAGTTTATATTTTTGTTCAATGTATAAAATCATCAGTGTCTAAGACAGATCCAGTGACATACACAGTAGTGAACGGGACGTCAGTTGCATCCATCCAACCCTTAACAGAACATTGCAAAACAACTTAATAAAACTGATGTTTCAGCCCTAAATAGCGATAAGTTATGTTGTCTCGAATAAAGTCGAGCACAAATAAATACACTAATTGGTGGAAAAAAGATGAGTACAACCTCTGCAGCTACACACGAGTGACTTAATGCTCTGAATTTGAAATATTATGGCCGTAAAATGCCGGTATGTATTAGCTTCTGTACAGTCATGGTCAATAGTTTTGAGAATGACACAAGTATTGGTCTTCACAAAGTTTGCTGCTTCAGTGTTTTTATATATTTTTGTCAGATGTTACTATGGTATACTGAAGTATAATTACAAGCATTCCATAAGTGTCAAAGGCTTTTATTGACAATTACATTAAGTTTATGCAAAGAGTCAATATTTGCAGTGTTGACCCTTCTTTTTCAAGACCTCTGCAATCCGCCCTGGCATGCTGTCAATTAACTTCTGGGCCACATCCTGACTGATGGCAGCCCATTCTTGCATGATCAATGCTTGGAGTTTGTCAGAATTTGTGGGTTTTTGTTTGTCCACCCGCCTCTTGAGGATTGACCACAAATTCTCAAATGGGATTAAGGTCTGGGGAGTTTCCTGGCCATGGACCCAAAATGTCGATGTTTTGTTCCCAGAGCCACTTAGTTATCACTTTTGCCTGATGGCAAGGTGCTCCATCATGCTGGAAAGGGCATTGTTCGTCACCAAAAACTGTTCTTGGATGGTTGGGAGAAGTTGCTCTCTGAGGATGTGTTGGTACCATTCTTTATTCATGGCTGTGCAAAATTGTGAGTGAGCCCACTCCCTTGGCTGAGAAGCAACCCCACACACGAATGGTCTCAGGATGCTTTACTGTTGGCATGACACAGGACTGATGTTAGCGCTCCCCTTGTCTTCTCCGGACAAGCTTTTTTCCGGATGCCCCAACAATCGGAAAGGGGATTCATCAGAGAAAATGACTTTACCCCAGTCCTCAGCAGTCCAATCCCTGTACCTTTTGCAGAATATCAGTCTGTCCCTGATGTTTTTCCTGGAGAGAAGTGGCTTCCTCGCTGCCCTTTTTGACACCAGGCCATCCTCCAAAAGTCTTTGCCTCACTGTGCGTGCAGATGCACTCACACCTGCCTGCTGCCATTCCTTCGCAAGCTTTGCACTGGTGGTGCCCCGATCCCGCAGCTGAATCAACTTTAGAAGACAGTCCAGCAAGCGCCAGGACTATCTTGGGCGGCCCGAATCCTTCTTCACAACAATTGCAATTCATCTGATCACTCTTCATAACATTCTGGAGTATATGCAAATTGCCATCATAAAAACTGAGGCAGCAGACTTTGTGAAAATTAATATTTGTGTCATTCTCAAAACTTTTGACCACGACTGTAGTATCACATCTGGAAAGGGATGTCAAACACACCAGCCCAGGACCTCCACATCTGGCTCGTGACAAATCATTTTTTAATCATCCAAGATGAGAATTCTTCCAACTGTGAATAACAAACAATCAACTGAAACTCACCTTTAATATCACCAATCAAAATGTGTTTTATATGTATACATATTTTGCATTTTTATCTGATATGGAAAGAAACAAACCAATAAAGGATTTCATTTTCAAATCCATACTAAAAAAAGTATAATCCATCAGCGATTTTGACTTCCTGAAGTTCCATATCGAGACTACCATCAGCTTCAGCGAATGTGAAATGCCACACGTTTTAGAGTGCAAGGAACAGAGAGCTGAAACAAAGAATGCACTAAAAGGTCAGCTTGTTAGTCTCGAAAACCCGACCCTAGGCAACACAGTGACTATGGTCTGGTTTTAATGATTGACTCTTTCGGCATAGAGGAACTACTGTACGTCACTGCCTATGTCGATAAGAAAATAAAATGATATCTGGGGACTCTCCCAAAAAATGACGAGGCAGACATGCCAGAATGTCGCAATTCAAAACCAGTTGGCAGGCAACATCTTTGCAAGGGTTTTAATTAAGGTAGTTGATGCAAACTAGCCACTTGCGAAATGCACTCATTAAAAAGGACCTCCATGATCTCCATCTTGCTAGCTACTATTTTGTATTTTATTCAAACGGATAAAGTAGTGGCGTAGGCAGTGTCGTATTTCCTCAATGCCAAAAGAGTACATCATTGAAACCAGACCCTAGTCACAGTTGGTTGGGAGTGCATTGAGTACATTACCAGGGTCACATTCATTAGGGCACACTAGCAAAACGCTGTGCAATGGAAAACACACAAGTTCTGGTAGTCTCCCTATTTTAGTATACATTTGATAATAATGAACACAACCCAGATGCCGATTAATATAAAAGGCTCAAACTACCTGAGATTTAAAGTAAAAGCAGAATTCCACACTTGAACTAACTGGTACAATTATGTATGTGGGAAGAGAGAATCAAAATTACTAGCGAAGTCAAAAATGACAATTTACTGAAGTGAGATTTGAGTTTTGTCAATATTAGTTTTTGTAGTGTCGTTGTTTAGTCAAATGAAAAAGTTGGATGTTTTGACCTCTCTTTTCCATTCCAGGCCAACATAATAAACAAAAAAACTGTTAGATATGGGAAAATGGACAAGACTGATGCATTTCATAGAAAAGCAAACTGAAGAATCGGACTTGAAATACCGCAGTGAGATGGCGGTGGGAACTAGTCACAGCCATAGAGTGGAAGCCATTTTGTATTGAGCGCCGATGGCAATCGCTTTGCCATGTGCCGCGTCACAAGTTTATAGTTAGTTGTTTAAGCATATACCCTCTCCTCACAGCTAAGGTGCTTCCTTTGCCCAAGTCTGACGCCTCACAGCCAGGTGAGGTTAGTGCCACAACCAGACCCCATCAAAGAGTCCTACAAGGCTTGGGTAGAACTAGAGTAAGTTGCAGATGAGCAGTGTTACAGCGCGGGGTGGGAAAAAACAAAGATGGTGGCTGCGGTGACTCAACATAGAAAAAATTAAAATTGTCGACCTCTAGTCGACTTGGAACGTGGCCACCAAGTGCTGATAATATAAATAACAAAGTAAAGAAGAAGAGAAAAGTTGTATAAATATATAGAATCTTTGCAGTCCCTTGTGACAGTCTCTCCCTGTGTAGGGAAGGGAGGTGAAAGTTCAAAGTTCACCGGTGGTGGGGTCACGGTTGAGGCTGCTCTCGCCGACCTCCTGGAAGAGTGCGGTGTAGAACTCGGGCTCCAGCTGCTTGTTGCGGTAGCGGTTCACCACCTCAGCGATCTTCTGTTTCCGACGCACGTGCGGCGGGTTGTACGAGTCGCTCTCCAGCCGCTTGCGCCGGCACGCGTTGATCACCGTCTGCCTTACCAGGAACCCTGAGACAGAGGGGGGAGGGAGAGAGTGAGGGGGAAGAGGAGGGGGAGGGAGAGAGTGGGGGGGTGGAGAGAAAGAGGTGGAGAGGGTAGAGGGAGGGAGAGGGGGAAGCGGGTGATGGAGAGAAAGAAGCGAGAGGGGGAGAAAAGAGAGAGAACGAGGAGAGCCAGAGACACACAGTTGATATGTTGACGCTTGCAGAGCAGGACAGTGGGTTGGTTTCCCGGGACCACCCATACGTATGCACACACATGACTAAGCCGCTTTGGATAAAAGCGTCTGCTGAACTGCATATATTATTACAGTCTGCCTCACCAGGAACTCAGAGCGAGAGAAAAGAGAGAATAGAAGAGAGGGAAAGAGGCGACGGATGGCTCAGCACTGACGAGGAGAGAGACGTGGTGGAGCCAGGTATCTGCATCTGGGATGACTCACTCACACATTTGGCATGTGTGAAGACGAGAAGCGGGGGTCTCTAAGATCACCGCCTGGTAACAATCTCTCTCTCTGTCTCTTTCTCTCTCTGGCATAACTCATTTATATTCCTCAACAGTGATACTGTGTCAGACACATGACTGTTGAAGAATGCAGCATCTCTTGCAGACACTGGCAGTTTGCTCACACACACACACACACACACAGTTGTACTCGTCACGAGTCATTGTGATAGCTTACACACACACACACCTTTCACCCCTCCCCCCTCTACCCATACCTTCACACACACCCCTTCCCCACACACCTCCTCACCCCCAACCTCTCACCTAGTGACCTCCTGCTGACCACCATGCCGTCCACCAGGGGGACGACCATGCTAAACTTGCCCTGGGCCCCGTGCAGCCGGATCCGGAACAGGCCCGTCCTCAGAGGGTGGATGAAGATCACCTGCACATCCTGACCGGACGTTGTGGGTCTAAGGAAGGGGGGGTGGAGGGGGAGGAGGAGGAAGAGGGTTGGACAGGCATAGAGAGAAAGGGAGGAATTAATTTGCCTCTCTTGCACACTCACTGGACTCTACCCACATATATTACACTGACACTCCAATACACACAAACACACACACACAAAACACACACATGCATATTGATGCCACACACACACACTTTCACACTCTTCACGCTGCTGCTACTCTGTTTACTTTCTATCCTGATTGCCTGGTCACTTTTACACCAACCTTCATGTACATATATTACCTCAATTACCTCGTACCCCTTCACCTTGACTCGGTACCAGTACTCCTTGTATATAGTCTTGTTATTGTTATTTTATTGTGTTACTATTCACCTTTCTGCTATTCTTTCTTACTTTTGAACTCTGAAATGTTGGGAAAGTGCTTGTAAGTAAGAAAATCACGGTAAAGTCTACACCTGTTGTATTCGGAGCATGTGACAAATCACATTGATTTGATTTGAGAAAGAGGGAGAGAGAGGCAGAGGAGGAAGACGAGGGAGAGAAGAAAGGTGGAACAGAGCAGATATGAGACACTGTCCCCGCTGCAGAGGTGCTATGAGCACCTCTTACCATCCTGCCTTCTGAGGTCAGCCACCATGCACCATATTAGCTAGGTTTTGGTTCTGTACTGCCTCTAGTTCGACCCCTTGCACTTGTCTCCTGTTTTATATGCTGCCCTGGCAAGATCCCCAGCCCCCTGTGTCCCGTGACCTACACTGCGCTGTCTGTGCTACATGAACACTAGTACTCGTCTGACCCCGTTGGTCCCCCGCCACCATGCTGAGCCCACATCAATACGCCTTGCACTAACTTAATAATACATGCCATTTGTATAAGACTTTGCTGTAAAGGACAACTGTCTGGTCTTGGTGGTGGTATATACTTGGAGCTTCTACCTAGAATGTCAGAAGAGGATACATTTCTTTCTAGGGTTTTGTCCTTATCATAGTCACCCTCGCTTGCTAAAAAAATTAATGAACACTGTGAAAATGAATAAGTAAAAGGACATTTTGTTTGACTGATTGATTGAGAAGCCCTCAAATCTGCAGTGCTCCATAATCGTTGTAGAAACTACTTTCTCAGTCCAATTCTCCATCATCTGACTTAACTCTAAGTATAATGGATATAAAATAATAGGAATAGTGAATACAGCTATGAATCCTCTAGTTTCTAGCTGTCAAATCCTTGACGATCCAATGGTCCCTCCCTTGGCCTCCTCTTCCAATGAGCTTTGAGAGAGAGGCGAGGAATAGAGGGAGGAGGAAGCAAGGACTTCACAGCTAGAAAACATTTCAGACACAGTCTCTGTGTTGAGTAGTGATGGATGAGAGCCTTTAGTACCTTGTTGAGGCGCTACTGTTAGCCGTGGTTTCCACTCCAGTGCTCGTCTCGCCCAGCAGGTCGGCCAGGGGAAAGTTCTCTACAACACAAGAATTCAACATACATTGCAGTTAATAGATTTTGTGCATCCAAAAAGTTTTAAGGTGAACTTAAGTCAGTAATTACAGAAATATGAGGACATTCATTTATAAAAGACTTATTAATAAAATATCAAAATTAATAGTTATATAGAATAGACTCATCAACTGGATCCAATTAATTTATAAAGAACCAAAATGGCTGCCAATAGAGGTCAGTTTCAGCATGACGCAGCAGGTTAGCCTACCAATATCATCGTAGCGCTCCACCCAGACCACCAGTACTTTGGTCTCTGGTCCCATTGGAGGGATGGTCCTGCCGGGAGGCATCGTCTTAGACTTCACTGTAGGACTCTGCGGGACAGACACGCCAAAATCATGTAAACAAGCTAGAACAAGGAAAAACAGCAAAAAAGCTTTGTTGTTGTTTGAATTCCAGATTGTCCCTTTAATCCAACCTGCACATAACGTTGAGGCCTTTACACAATTTTGCCGAGCTATCATTAGTGCTTGAATTTGTTAGAAAAAAATGGCAAAAAGCACACCCCTTGTTAGCTTACAAATTTGAAGGGGAAAAATCAGGCCCGAGGGAGTGTGTGTGGTATATGGCCAATATACCATGGCTAGGGGCTGTTCTTAAGCACGACGCAATGCAGAGTGCCTGGATACAGCCCTTAGCCGTGGTATATTGGCCATATACCACAAACCCCCCCGAGGTGCATTATTGCTATTATAAACGAGTTACCAACATAATTAGAAGAGTAAAAATAAAAGTTGTCATACCCGTGGTATATGGTCTGATATACCACGACTTTCAGCCAATCAGCATTCAGGGATCGAACCACCCAGTTTATAATAACCGATCTATAACTATGTTTTACTCAGTGATGCTATAGGCTAGAAACAAGCATGCCGCCGGACCCCGCTAGCTCCTATCCCTTGTTAACTTTTAACAATTCGACCCCTGGCTATCACCATTCATTAACCCCAGCTAAAAAGCTGTCCGTTGGAAAAGGCACAGCGTCCCTATTCAGAAGGTGAGAATGAAAACCAGAAGTTAGGGTTGTTTTGGCAATCCAGGAGCAGAATGAAATAACACTGGGGTAGGGTTCAGGTTTAGGTGGGATTTGGGCTTTGATCAGGTGGGTCTGACTGAGAAATAGAATACTTGTATTCTTAAGGGGCACTTCACCACTTTTTAACCTACATATATTTTCACATATGTAGACACTGGTATGTTGTTGGAGATAATAATAATATTGTTTAAAAAAATGATGAAGTGTCCCTTATAATGGTTTGCGGTTCATCTTACCCTCTGTGCGGGGGCCACGTTGTCCGAGTGGTTGGGGAAGAGCTCCAGTGTGAGGTTGGACTGTTTCAGCAGGCTGGGCAGCAGTTCCATCTGAGAGTCAGAGTCCCCCGTGGGGAAACTGCTCTCTGACGACTCCGCTATAGGAACAACACAAAGACAAGTGAGAACACACATATAGTCTGCATCCCAAACGGCACCCTATTCCCTAGATGACCAGGGCCCCTATATAACATTAGTGCACTACTTTTGACCAGGGTTTTGGTCAAAAGTAGTGCACTATATAGGGAATAGGGTGACATTTGAGACACACCATAGATAAACCCACGCCATCAGTCACGGCATAATGTGGCTAAATGTTTTACAACAGAAAAAAAGATGAGGCTTTCTAATTGGACAGATAGTCCCTCCCTGTTTCAGTCCATTTTCTTCTGTTTGGTGCCTAATGAATCCACCCCTGCTCAATGACTTTCTAATGCAATTACAAAGCTCTAAAGAACATTTGTTGAACAAATGAGAGGAAATCAATAAAGAGAGAAAAGAAGACAGGAAGATGGGAGAGCGAGATGAGGAGAATGGAGAGAAAGGTTAAGATAAAGAGAGACGAGGAGTTTTTAGTTTCATTTAGGTTCAGAGGTTTATTCCGCATAAAATGAAAGATAGTTGGGAAGATATTTTTGATGTCCCAAAACCATGGCATCAGGTTTATGAACTGATAAACAAAACAACATTTGGCGCATCAATCCGTTCTTTTCAATTTAAACTATTATCTAAAATTCTCCCCACAAAAATAAAGCTCAATATATGGGGGATTAAACAGTCAGCCCTGTGCAGACTCTGCAATGAAGAAACAGAATCAATAGATCATCTCTTTTGGTACTGTCCTTCGGTGGCTCGCTTTTGGAGTCAGGTCCAGAAGTGGTTGTTGAGTCATAATGTCTGTGTTCAGATGGACTTACAAACATTACTGTTAGGAGATCTGAAAAACGACCATCAATCAAATGGGAAACATGATTATATTCTTAGGTAAAGTATTTATATTTAGGGCAATCTCGGTAGAAATAGTACAAATAGAGAGGTTCAAGACCCTCGTAAGACATCACAGTAAAATAGAAGGATGTATTGCAAAAGGAAATAGTGAAATGGCAATACTGGGAAAGATGGTTTAGTCTGTGGATATCTGAGGGGTGGAATTAAGATTAGAGGGATTGGTTGATTTGACGATGCACTAGTCCAGTAAAAATAGGAGGCTATTTGTATATATATTGAATTTGAATGTTTTCCACCAGGTCCTCTAACCCAGGGATCAGAAATTGTCATTTTATAGACTAATCTGTCTGCTAGTTTCATAGCTGATCTCCCCCCAACAACAACAACAAAAACAGATTAGGAGTGGAGGAGAGAAAAGAAGAAGGGAGAGATAGATGAGGAGTACAGGAGAGAAAATAATAGAGAAAGATGGGAGAAAGGGACAAGGCCCACCGGAGGAGTCTGTGAGCGAGGGAACGACAAAGGCGATCTCGGTCAGGGCGTCGGCATAGTACAGCACCTGCTTCTCTCCATTGAACACGCCCCCGCCCGTGTCTCCCAGGGTGACAGTATCATCTGTGGGGACAGAGAGGAACTTCTTTACTACTAGGGATGGGCATTTGAAATATTTTCACTATTCAAATAAGACCATGAACGTTTTTCCGAATACACACGTGAGAAAAAAAGATGTGTTTGCTGCGTGACTCAGCAGAGAGGATGCCGCTCTGCTTGAGCAGCAGGACGGGTGAAGGGCAGGTGCCCATGTGTGAAGAGGGAGGGAGAGAGAGAAAGTAGCCATACTTGCGCTAGTTAGACAAACTTTTTGCGGCCATATCTATACCATCTGGTAGTGCCTGTCTTGACTGCATCAAATCGATGTCAAGAAAAGATCTACGCTAGCCAGCTAAGTTAGCGAACTAGCTAGCGAGCAAGGCTAATTGAAGCTATTTTGCTAGGCATCCCGTCCATTTCTACAACAACTCCATTAATTTTAAACAACAGTACCTGTTGAAGGTAACTTAATTCCACAATTTTAATTCCATTTTGCATTGATTAGAAATATCTCACTTCATCTGCCAGGCTACATATGGAGTCTCTGACTGTTAAGCCTTGTTCACACAGTTTTCTTTTTCAAATCCATTTTGGACTACTGACTGTCCAAACAGCAAGTTACAAGTGACCAAATCGGATGTGTTTGTGTTCAGACCTCAGTCATTTGCTGACAATGCAACATTTGTTGTCATAGTAACGACGGGTGTGTGTGCAGGGGTGTAGGCAGATTGGTGGTGGTGCTTGTGCTTCCTATCACTCAGAAGTTGTGTAGCAAGCTAAGGTCAAAACAATGCCTGTGATGGACGTTTCCCAGATGCTTTGAATGTTAAAAATCATAGGGTAAGAACACTTTCAAAGCCTCAAAAGGATAAGATTATCCAACTTTCAAAACAAGTCCTTTTTGGCTAGCCACAACAGTAACTGGCTAGCTAGGTAGCCGTTTAGCTTTCTAGCACATTCACTAATTTGTTTGTAAACAATTAACAAGCAAGTTAGCTACCACATGTTCTTGTCAAACTGTCAACAGAGTAGCTAGCAAGCAACAAGATATGCCAAATAACAAATCCAAAAACCACTTGAGGGCAAATAAATCTGATTTGACCGTTCAGACAAGTCTCATGGCCAGAATCAGATTTGTATCATACTTCAAACCACCTACTAAGGTGGTATGAAATGTGGCTTTAAATATCAGATTCCATGTGCTTTTTTGGCTATTCAGACTGCAGGAAAAATAACAGATTCGAATCGGATATGCAAATAAATAGGACTTGAGTCACTTTAAACTGCCAATGTGAACACTGCTTTAGTGCCACTTTGATTGCCCAACAATAACAACAAAATACACGTGTGAAATGTGTGATGTGCTGGTTACCGGTATGTATTTTATGGGGCGCATGTCATAAAAACTACATTCAAAAGTTTGTTGTTTTATTAAATTAGCAATGTCAAATGTCATGGTAAACTTATATGTAGCAATGTCACATTAATAATTGTATTTAATTCAGGTAAAGCCTTTTCATTGTTAAAATAGGCCTATAATTAATCAAAAAAATACAAATGAATACTCTCGTAAGTAATCGTATACTAACGTCTGTTCAGATATCCGGATATTCTATCAACCGTGCCCATTCCTACTTAATACTGTAAAAATATATATATATATATATATTCTCAGGTTGGCATGATAATGCTCTCTCCTCCCTCCCTCTCTCTCTCACCTGGTGGGCTGCTGTCTCCATTATTGTTGCTGTTGTTGTTGTTGTTGTTGTTGTTGTTGATGGACCAGCTGGTGTAGACGCTGCCCGTCCAGCCCGGGTGCTGCCCCACCTCCACAGGCCAGCCCAGTGACATCAGGAACTCCAGGAAGTGATGCTGCACGTTGGAGCTTGACTCCACGTTTCTCAGGATCTGGCATAGGACCGTAGATAGTTAGTTAGAGGAATCATCATGGATATAACCTGTTTTTGCATGGACATTGCCATTGAGAGCGTCCACCATTTTGAAGTAGTCAACTGGGTGGGGACTCCTATGGGTTGGGAGTGATCAGCCAATGATCAGAGCATTGTCTTATTCAAATTGGATGCTATGGTTTGTAAATGGCTTGAAACTATATCACCACCATCTAGTGGCCACAATAAATGAATGACAAGATTTTAGTTCAGGACTCCAGCACTGCAGATGGCTGTAAATCACCAATATTAGCTTTACAACTTTTTTCAAACACAAAAAAAATAAGAAAATTGACTACTTTAAAAAGGAGATAAGACTCAATGGTGCGGCCTGTGCTTTCACAGACGCCATTATGGGGCAGGTACAAAGATGATTTCTCTAACTAACTCTATGCATGGGACACAGTGACAGACAGTCCATTAACAGAGGAGTAAATGGTTTTGGATTGTAAAAGTTTGTGGTCAATTGCAGTTGTATTTTGCTGGTTTTTTTAATAGATAGGTTTGAAATGAGACAGGGAGTCTGCAGATCTACCAATAGACCAGACTCTGGCACCTAAACGTTTTTTCAACCATTTTAGAATAGTTTAGCGTAACTGTCTAGAAGGAATGTCAGAGAAAATAGACTATAATATCAGGGCATGTAAGAAGTTAATCAATCAAGACTTTAGCACCGGTCCATAACTCCTGTGCTGTGTTCATTAGGGCACACCGTAGCAAACAGTTTAAACGTAGCAATGGAAAACAAGTTTGACCTTTTTCTTCTGTTTTGTTCCTACTGAACACAACCCTGTTGACACCCTCCATTTAAACCTATCACCTCCTGGCTGCTCTTCTGGCCGGCCTTCATGTAGAAGAGGAAGACGGTGTCACAGGGCCGGCAGGGCAGCAGGTCCAGGTAGCTCATGTCGTCAAAGAAGCCCGGCAACCCAGAGTCCAGTGCAATCAGGTGGGGAGGTAGGCGACTGTTGCCGGGCTCCTGGAGGGCAGGAAACAAAGTTAAATGTGATTGGCTGGTTCATCAGCCAATGCAACCCTAAAATGACTTTACACATGAATTGGCCGGTTTAACTGCTGTATTTGGTTAACTATAATTTGCTACTTGGTGATAACACATAGGATCAAAATAAGCTAAATTAACATAAGCTGAGATTGCACCAATCGGATTCACCTTAATATGGCGTTCTATTTAAGTTGACCAGTTCTGCACCCACATCCTCTGCTGTTGCCTTGCTGCTGCGCTAAGCTATGCAATCCGCTTTTCTTGGATGCTTAATATCACTGCTGCTGTAACATTGCTGCCACCAGTTATGCGTCGTCTGTTTTTGGCTAGCCCTCCACCACCCCAGCTTCCACCTGTTTGGTTCTGCTTTTTGTTCCCATCAGGAGGATTGGTATCTTGCTCACTGCCTGTAGTTGATTATAATGGCAGTAATTGACGCATTGCTCTGGCAGCGAGCTCCCCTGAAGGAACAGAGCCTAACGCCAAGACCAAATGCATTGTCATCTATTTTCTAATAAATGGTTAAACTAAGATGTGAGTTTTCTGTCTGAAATGATGTTTTAACTGAATAAATATAGTCATTTATTGATTGCATACTTTCTAGTTGATATACACTGAACAAAAATATAAACGCAACATTTAAAAAGTGTTGGTCCCATGTTTTAAGAGCTGAAATACAAAATCCCAGAAATGGTCCATAAGCACAAAAAGCTTATTTATCTCAAATGTTGTGCACAAATTTGTTTACATCCCTGTTAGTGACCATTTCTCCTTAGCCAAGATAATCCATCCACCTGACAGGTGTGGCATATCAAGAAGCTGATTAACCTCTACAGGATCGGTGTCCCGTATACAGGACGGTTGAGCTAACGTGCGCTAATGTGATTAGCATGACTGTTGTAAGTAACAGCAAACTTTTCAGGACATAGACATGTCTTATATGTGCAGAAAGCTTTAATTATTGTTAATCTAACTGCACTGTCCAATTTACAGTAGCTATTACAGTGAAAAAATTACATTATTTTGTTTGAGGAGAGTGCACAACAACAAAAAACTTATCACGGCAACTGGTTTGATACATTCACCTCTGACGGTAAATAATGTACGTACATTCAGTAATCTTGCTCTGATTTGTCATCCTAAGGGTCCCAGAGATAAAATGTAGCATCGTTTTGTTTAATAAAATCAATTTTTATTTTCAAATGTAGGAACTGGGTTCTACAGTTTGAACCCCTGCTGTCTGGCTCCACACCCACCCCGCCCGGCTATCTAGATGTGTGAAAGTTAGTGTATAAGCTAATGATCCTGTATGACATTCCTGGGAGTGTGTAAACTTACATTTTGTATTACCATATCATTTTTGTATGTTCTTTATAGCTATGTACTTGAAAATGTATCAATTCACCAATTCGGCACATTTGGGCAGACTTCATACAAAATAGTCCAGTATTGCAATGCTTCACTGGATCAATCTGAAGCTTTGCACACACTGCTGCCATCTAGTGGCCCAAATCTAAATTGCTCCTAAACTGCAATATGATATTGTGGCCTTTCTCTTGCATTTCAAAGATGATGGAACCATTTTCTTAATAGAAAACGCATGTTTTTTTGTTTTATATTATCTTTTACCAGATCTAATGTGTTATATTCTCCTACATTAATTTGTTTTTCCTCCAATGTTGTTTTAGAGAATTTGGAAGTACATCCAACCGGTCTCACAACCGCAGACCACGAGTAACCACGCCAGTCCAGGACCTCCACATTCGGCTTCTTTACCTGCGGGATCGTCTGAGACCAGCCACCCGAACAGCTGATGAAACTGAGGAGTATTTCTGTCTGTAATAAACCCCTTTTGAGGGGAAAAACTAATTCTGATTGGCTGGGCCTGGCTCCCCAGTGGGTGGGCCTATGCTCTCCCAGGACCACCCATGGCTGCGTCCCTGTTCAGTCATTAGATTAGGGCCTAATTTATTTATTTCAATTGACTGATTTCCTTATATGAACTGTAACTCCGTAAAAACATTGAAATTGTTGCATTTTGCATGTATATTTTTGTTCAGTAAAGATTGACATAAGCTAGTGCTGTTCGTTAGGCTTACTCCTAATTAGCTGACGAAAAATAGGCTAAATGTGGACAGTTCTTCTAACATCTTCAATATGCACCTCGGAATTCTTTAAGAGGGACGTGCGCAGTTGCGTCCCCAATGTGTTGGTCTTCACTTATAGCCTACTTCTTAGCTGTGAGAAGGACCCGATCATGTGACAGGCATTGGCTAATAAGAATGTAGATATCAGAGAGCCATGTCTTAGATGACTTCTCTAAGCTGAGTGGCCCTCTGTTAGAGTGTGTGTGTGTGTGTGTGTGGACACCTAAGCTGAGTCATAGAGCAGGCTGAGCATGTACCACCCTACTAGTCCCTCACTTTTTATGTGAAATCACTGTCACCCACTGATTAACTTGTCATTTTGCAGATAAAAAAAAAAAAGTTTTGACCTAGTACTATGTCAATATTTATCTTTAGAAATGATCATGACATTTAGCCAATTAATATAATGCAACTGGATTTTACCCCCATCTCAAAAGCGAAATTGTTTAGACCGTTTGGTATTTTGCACAGCTCGCAAAAATGATTGATGTCCTTTATGAAATTACCCTGTTCATGTAAAAATGACCAAATAAACTGACTGTTTAAAGCAGAACTACCAAAACTATTGGTGAACCTGAACAATGTAATTAAAATCGGAATGATTGAAAACACCAAATCAGCAGTTGGTTGTGTAAAAAGAAAATAAGTTTGATAGGCTACTGTAGCAGAGGATGCATAAATTCTGTCACATCAGATAAGAGGTATTTTCGTAATAAAACTATACGAGTAAAAAACATTAGTGAACGGTCAATTCCTAACGTTTGAATCGGTTTTCTGACTGATGCATTATTCATTTGGATCGGTTTGGGCTCCCGCGGACCGATGCACTTGTATCTTAAACATTTGAACCGGGGATGATGCGTATCGGTGAACCGTTACATCCCTAGTTCCACTACACATGTACATCCCTTTAAATCCATTAAAAGAGCCCCAGAATGAATTGAAGATAACTCAAGAAATCTGTAATTAATTTAGAAGTTTTTGCCGGGGATGTTTTAGTTGCGCAATTTTACATCTAACTAAGGTGTTTGGTGCAGTATTGTGCGCCGTGTTGTCTTATGTAAACAGTCGGCGCCCTTGAGCAGGTCTGTCGCACCGTTTATGCTATTGGATAAAGCGCAATCACCGCAGCTGTTCACCCCATGTTAGTGGGCAAATGGACATCAGAATTATCATATTTACACTTTGTAGTCAGTTATGACACTAGAATAACTAACCGTTTCTGACTCATATCGATGCCACATAGGCTGTTTTCAAAGGGATTCGTTGCTTTTTAAAGGCAGTCGCTTTTTTAAAACCTCTCCTCTCCCCCTCCTCCCCTCTCTTTCCCCAGTACCTTGAGTGCCTCCAGTGACAGGAAGCCAAAGTGCGACAGGAAGAGGCGTGCCGTCTGGAACTCCTGCGAGGGAGACGGGGGCTTGCAGTCCGTCAGCGAGTCTGGGAAGCTCTTGTTGCCCCAGCGCTCCTCGCTGCTGTGCTCCAGCGTCGTCTCGTACTCGATCTGCTTGGCCATCACGCCTCGCAGCTTGTCGTGCTGCATCTCCAGCTGAGAGTGAGGAATGGATAATGGTATCGCCCCTTGACACTGATCTAAGGTCAGTTTTGCATTTTTCACCCTCTAAAAATGGTTATGATTAGAAGTGGCTGGTCATAGATCTGTGCCAAAGGTCAGTGGAGGGGATCCTATGGCTGTTGCTCATTCAGATCTTCATCTTATAGTAGCAATGAAAAATAGTAGTAAAAAATTGTGCCATTGCATTGCTGGCATGTGGCATTGTATACATCCACAGAAATGCACCCATCCACAGACAATCCCCTCCTCAAAGCACCTCACAAAACACCAAACACTCACCTGACATGAACGAACCATCAACGCAGACAAACCTTCCCAAAACCCCCAACAAACTCTCACAAAACCAATACAGTGCGCACCCAATAACAACAACTTTCGCTCCCACAGTCATAGTGGGGTTTTGGGAAGGTTTGTCTGCGTTGATGGTTCGTTCATGGATGAGTTCACAGAGAATGAAAAAATCAAAAGTTAGCCTACATTTTGTTTAATATTTGTGCTAATTGTGCAAATGGTCCCATCTGGGGGCCATATTCATAAATCGTCTCAGAGTAGGAGTGCTGATCTTAGATCGGTTTTTACGAAATAACGAATAACAGGGGGAACCTGATTCTAGATAAGCACTCCTATTTTGAGTCGCTTTGTAAATACAAGCAAGGGCTGATGCAAACACCATCTCTACTCTACAATACAATGCTCATTAGGGCGATGGAGACAACATGATTCTAATAAGGATGGACAAACGATGCTAGCCTACCTCCTTATCTAGGATATCGTGTAGGTCCGGAATGCTCAGGTCTGCTTTCACAAAAGGAATTTTGTCCACTTCTTCCGGGAAGGGTCTGTGTTTGACGTTTAACCGGATCCCCACATCATTTTTAGGAGTGGGTCGACTCTCTGGGAGAAATACCTGCTACAGAGAGGAGTGAGAGAGACAGAGAGAAGGGGGGGGGGAGAGGGAGATACTTCTGATGAGATACAGACCCCTGGGAAAGGAACTGGGAAGACTCAGCAAGAAACATGAACTGACATATGATCATTTAGCATTGTTAAAGGTCTACGATAAGCATCTGATGAATGTCAATGCCCTGATGCAGAATTTTTTTCAAAATAGATCTGGCACCAGCAATCATTAACTTTGAATGAGATTAGAGATCATTTGTTCATTACAGCAATGTGAAAAAACCTGCTTCCTAACAATGGAGTTGCTAGTTAATAAGACGTCAATGTGAACCTTGACACTAATAGAAATGTGCTGAAACATATCAACATAATTCATATAAAGGGTTAACTAAGGTGTGTGTGTTACCTTCTGGCTGGCACGGGCCCCCCTGGGCTGGTGGAAGAGCTGCATGGTCCAGGCGTGTCTCCCAGACATCCCCCTGATTAACATGGTCACGGACGGACAGGGATCTGCTGAGACACACACACACACCAACACACAAGGCAACCAGGTCAACAGGGTTGTGTTCATTAGGCACAAAACGGAAGAAGACATTGTCCAATGAGAAACGCCAATTTTCGTTTTATAGTGCAAAACACTTTTAAACATTTAACATTTGAATAAATATGAGGATGATACCGTGAGGATGATGACTGATAACGTGAGGATGATGACTGATAACGTGTGGATGATGACTGTCAAAAATGGTTCTGGGATAACATATGAAGGCTAACTGACTCTGTTCGTTGCCCAGCGGCTGCTCCAGCATGGCCAGGATGACCGAGTTGTCTAGGACGAAGTAGCGGAAGTTCTTGCGGCTGGTAGAGGTCAGCCTGGAGTACTTGATCAGGGTGTCCTCGTTCAGCAGGCTGCAGGGGGAGGCGGGGCCACTGGGTGACGGGAACGCCCCCAGGACCTGCATTATGCTGACAGGGACAGCAAAGACAGGGGATGAGGAGTGACTCCAGAGGTGCTGTGCATTCAAAAGACAAAATATATACGAGGCAGGAATCCCCGCTATAAAACATTTCAAAAGCAGAATTGTATGAGTATGAATAAAAATGGCAACTCTGAACTAAGCGGATAAGAATACAAGATAGGTCAAATTACATTTTGGGGAATTATCCATAAATACTGACAGGTAAAATGGTTGAAACTAATTTAAAAGCTACAGTCTGCAATTGGTACATTCATTTTTGGACTTTTAAATTAATAATATATAGCCATAGATTCTTGAAAAAAATATAACTTATAAATGCCCCATGAGCTTAGTTCAACTGTCTTACCCCACCAGAACCCAAAATATAAAGCTTGTTTTTATTCATTGTTCGCAAACAGTGTAATTGTAAACAAAGACTTGATAGCTTCAAAACATGGTCTTTGCATCCATAGCTCGGTCTATGAATTTGATAGTGGTTACATCTGGGTGGGTGGCAGTACGTCCAACCGGCCTCACAACCACAGACCACGTGTAACCACGCCAGGACTTCCACATCCGGCTTCTTTACCTGCGGGATCGTCTGAGACCAGCCACCCGGACAGCTGATGAAACTGAGGAGTAATTCTTGCTGTAATAAAGCCCTTTTGTGGGGAAAACCTAATTCTGATTGGCTGGGCCTGGCTCCCCAGTGGGTGGGCCTGGCTCCCAAGTGCGTGGGCCTATGCCAAGCCATGTGAAATCCATAGATTAGGGCCTAATGAATTTATTTCAATTTACTGATTTTCTTATATGAATTGTAACTCAGTAAAATCGTTAAAATTGTTGCCTTTATCTTTTTGTTCAGTAAAGATTGACATAAGCTAGTGCTGTTCGCCTCGGAATTTGATAAGAGGGACGTGCGCAGTTGCATCCCCAATGTGTTGGTCTTCACTTATAGCCTACTTCTTAGCTTTGAGAAGGACCCGATCATGTGACATGCATTGGCTAATAAGAATGTAGATATCTGAGAGAGCCATGTGAGTGAGAGGTGCTTCGGAGCACACCAGCCGGGAGAGGGGAATTAGAATTATTATATTCTGCCCAAGGGCACAATGGCCACTTTGGCCGCAAAATGCACCTTTATAATAGGGGGCATTACGGCCACACAAGGGGGATGCCGCTGGGAAATTTGAGGACTGGTTAGAATATTATCAAGTGCTTGTCAAATTGTGAATGAGAGACTGATGAAGTGTGTACAGCCTACACAAGAAACAAAATCAGAGCTCATGCCTTTCATGCGACTTTTAAAAAATCATCATTAGTCGCATCATGCAGCCTTAGACTGTATTAAAAATCAAAACATATATCAAAATGTTTGTATCATAACTAAAGTTGCATAAATAACTCTAAATTAAGCATATAGGAGGAACTGTTTCTTTGTTAACTGCTCATTTGTTAACTGCTCAACACAGAATAACTACATGTGCGTACTTCCTTGGAAATCGTTTGGAGGAAATATCCTTTCTAGTTTATTCAGCTATGTTCAATTGTATTGTTCATACTATAAAATAATACCACGGAATTCTAAGCAAATCTTGTCTGCTAGTGTAGCCCACAGCCACATGGCATAGCCAGATCAGGACCTAACATAAGGACAACTCAGAGTATGCTATTTTGTTCTTCTGAAACAGACTAGATTTTCTTCATATAATGTATCTGTAGACCTATCTAAAATAAATAATGGATTTATTGTGATGATGTCGGCTACATTAAATGGATTTATTTGACTTTTCAAAATGTAGACGTTCCAAAGATCTGCATCAGTGGCCTGTAGGCGATGCTAAACGTGTTTATGTTAATTAACGGTCAATTACCATGAGACCGGCAGTTATTTTGCTTGACAATCACCAACGGACAACATTTCATGACCGCCACAGCCCTAGTGGGGCTGCCATTTTGTTGTTTAGTGCACTCACTAACTGTAAGTCGCTCTGGATAAGAGCATCTGCTAAATGACTAAAATGTAAAATGTAGTTAACCCTTTACACTTGTGGGAATTGGCCTATATAGATAGGGGGGCTAAATTGAAATGTTTCTTACAGAAACATTGGCAAGCATATGCATAACCATGGTAGCAATTAAAAGGGAACAATTTGGAGATTATGGGAAAATTATTAAGACCAAAGTTGAGGGCAACAGTTCACCTGAATCCAAACATTACACTGTTGATTTTATGTGCATTTAACATTTACTGTACTTTTAGCCTCATTTGTTGATGATGAAATCTGAAAATACTCTGGATACATTCAGTAACGTAAGTATATTCCAGGAAAATGTGGGGTAGTTGCAACATAAGAGGGAGAGGACTAACGGGTGTCTCCAAGTGGCCACACACCTCTCCAAAGTGTGCAAAGTTCCTAAGTCATTTCAATGAACTCTTATGACTCAAAGAATTACGGTCCATTATAAATCGCAGTCTGGGTCAGGTGGGCATCATTAGAAAGCATGTTCTGTTGCCAACATGACTAGCTAAATTATAAAATACAATCGTACAGTGTTAGGCTTTCACAAGGCAATTCAGAGAAGCAGATCGTAATTTTGGTGCGCATAGAATGCATTCACGAGTGCATTCAGATGTGTGGTCCGATTTCTTCACAATACAACAAACATAGGCTCATTCTGTTTAGGACAACCCAGGGTATAACGCCATGTCATCTTGTAACTGTACATCAAACATAATGCTCATAAACGTTGACACTGTACACTCAGTGGCCATTTTATTAGGTATGCCCATCTAGTACCGGGTCGGACCCCCCTTTGCCTCCAGAACAGCCTGAATTCTTCAGGGCATGGAAACGTTGCTCAATTGGTATCAAGGGACCTAATGTGCCAGGAAAACATTCCCTACGCCATTACGCCACCAGCTTGTACTGTTGACACCAGGCAGGATGGGGCCATGGACTCACCCTGACTCTGCCATCAGCATGATGCAACATGAACCCGGATTCGTCGGACCAGGCAATGTTTTTCCACTCCTCAGTTGTCCAGTCGCTTCTTGTTTTTAGCTGATAGGAGTGGAACCCGGTGTGGTCGTCTGCTGCAATCGCCCATCCGTGACAAGGACCGACGAGTTATGATTTCCTATGCCATTCTGCACACCACTGTTGTACTGCGCCGTTATTTGCCTGTTTGTGGCCCGCCTGTTAGATTGCACGATTCTTGCCATATCCTTCAACCTCTCATCAACGAGCTGTTTTCATCCACAGGACTGCTGCGGACTAGATGTTTTTTGTTTGTCGCACCATTATCAGTAAACCCTAGACACTGTCGTGTGTGAAAAGCCCAGGAGGCCGGCCGTTTCTGAGTTACTGGAACCGGTGCGCCTGGCACCGACAATCACACCATGATCAATGTTGCTTAGGTCACTCGTTTTGCCCATTCTAACGTTCAATCGAACAGTAACTGAATGCCTCGATGCCTGTCTGCCTGCTTGAAATACCAAGCCCCGGCCATGTGACTCACTGTCTGAAGCAGCGAACCATTTTAATTAACGGGGAGGTGTACCTAATAAACTGAACACGGTGTGTATATTACATGCGTTTTATGATATGGAAATGTGAAGTGCACATCAAAGCGGTAGTTATTATAATTCATTAACATTTCATCTTTCAAAATACATTGAGTCCTTTTAATTTACAGCATTTCCCTCACTTAGACAACAAAACAATTTCAAAAGTTGCCCAATTAGCAGGAGGGATGTCAACACCGATACAGAGCTGTGAAGCGGAGACAGGGAGCTGTGAGGTCATAGCATGGCATAGCACAGCACTGATGGCATAGCACTGATAAGCGCCATTTAGGCTCTTTTCAACCCATATACAGGTACGAGTGTAAAGGGCAATCAGCAACAAAGTGGTTTTGCTAAACAGCTGAGGGATGGGGCTGGAGAAATGTAACCACTCAAATTCATAGACAGAGCTATGGATGAAAGGAGTGATCATCCATGAGATCAAACGTATATTTTAAAACATGTTTTGGGCTATACATGTGGTAAAGACAAGTGTCCCCAAGACACATCTTCGTACTATGGGGGACCGAACCTTCTGCTCCCTTGCCCACAGTGAGGGGAAAATAGTTTTTGATCCCCTGCTGATTTTGTACGTTTGCCCACTGACAAAGACATGATCAGTCTATAATTTTAATGGTAGGTTTATAAAAAAAAATAAGAGAGACAGAATAACAAAAAAATGTCAAAAATGTTATAAATTAATTTGCATTTTTCATGAGGGAAATAAGTATGTGACCCCTCTGCAAAACATGACATAGAACTTGGTGGCAAAACCCGTTGGCAATCAGAGGTCAGACGTTTCTTGTAGTCGGCCACCAGGTTTGCACACATCTCAGGAGGGATTTTGTCCCACTCCTCTTTGTAGATCTTCTCCAAGTCATTAAGGTTTCGAGGCTGACGTTTGGCAACTCGAACCTTCAGCTCCCTCCACAGATTTTCTATGGGATTAAAGTCTGGAGACTGGCTAGGCCACTCCAGGACCTTAATGTGCTTCTTCTTGAGCCACTCCTTTGTTGCCTTGGCCGTGTGTTTTGGGTCATTGTCATGCTGGAATACCCATCCACGACCCATTTTCAATGCCCTGGCTGAGGGAAGGAGGTTCTCACCCAAGATTTGACGTAACATGGCCCCGTCCATCGTCCCTTTGATGCTGTGAAGTTGTCCTGTCCCCTTAGCAGAAAAACACCCCCAAAGCATAATGTTTCCACCTCCATGTTTGACGGTGGGGATGGTGTTCTTGGGGTCATAGGCAGTATTCCTCCTCCTCCAAACACGGCGAGTTGAGTTGATGACAAAGAGCTCGATTTTGATCTCACCTGACCACAACACTTCCACCCAGTTCTCCTCTGAATCATTCAGATGTTCATTGGCAAACTTCAGACGGCCCTGTATATGTGCTTTCTTGAGCAGGGGGACCTTGTGGGCGCTGCAGGATTTCAGTCCTTCACGGCGTAGTGTGTTACCTATTGTTTTCTTGGTGACTATGGTCCCAGCTTGACAAGATCCTCCCGTGTAGTTCTGGACTGATTCCTCACCGTTCTCATGATCATTGCAACTCCACGAGGTGAGATCTTGCATGGAGCCCCAGGCCGAGGGAGATTGACAGGTCTTTTGTGTTTCTTCCATTTGCGAATAATCGCACCAACTGTTGTCACCTTCTCACCAAGCTGCTTGGCGATGGTCTTGTAGCCCATTCCAGCCTTGTGTAGGTCTACAATCTTGTCCCTGACATCCTTGGAGAGCTCGTTGGTCTTGGCCATGGTGGAGAGTTTGGAATCTGATTGATTGATTGCTTCTGTGGACAGGTCTCTTTTATACAGGTAACAAAGTGAGATTAGGAGCACTCCCTTTAAGAGTGTGCTCCTAATCTCAGCTCGTTACCTGTATAAAAGACACCTGGGAGCCAGAAATCTTTCTGACTGAGAGGGGGTAAAATACTTATTTCCCTCATTAAAATGCAAATTTATAACATTTTTGACATGTGTTTTTCTGGATTTTTTTGTTGTTATTCTGTCTCTCACTGTTCAAATAAACCTACCATTAAAATTATAGACTGATCATGTCTTTGTAAGTGGGCAAATGTACAAAATCAGCAGGGGATCAAATACATTTTTCCCTCACTGTATGAGGGTAGAGTTTGCAAAACAAATACCCACTGGATTGATATGTAACTTTCAAAATACAGAAATCCTCCCCGTATGATGCATTTTGTATGATGCAAAATGCATCATACGGGGATGATTTCTGTATTTTGAAAGTTACATGTCTTGAAAACTTGATTGCTGACAAACAAAACATTTTGGGACTATGTCAACACTAATGAAACAAATACCAAGATAGTTTTGGGGAGGACATTTCCTTTAACTACAAAGTAGCCTATGCTTACCTGGCAGAAATATCATGATTATTTGCATCAATCCAGTGGGTATTTGTTTTGCAAACTCAACCATCACATGCATGCAAAAACACTGCAACAAAAACAGCCTCATGCTGGTGCACCCTGGAATTAAAGGTTTACAACACCCACACAGTTTAATCTAAATTGAGTTTTCCTTTAACATTTAATTGAGAAGGTTTTTGAGAAAGCCTTTCCATCTAACAGAAGACTGTTTACATTAGCATCATCGCTAACGGCTACACAAAGTGGTAGACCTGCGCACCCCACATACACAGACAAGGAATTCTCGTTGCCTCTTCAGAAAGTTGCCGGAAATACGAATCACTGATGCATTCTGTTCATGTCTTATGATAAACTTTGTTACCAAGTTCAATCCCCTACTAAGTCAAATGCGTTTTAAAATTTTTGTTGAATTCCGTTTTAATATCTGGGTTCAGTGATTCCGTCAGCGTTCTCCATATCGCAGAATTTATAGGGCCCTATACTAGCTTCACTTCTTCTAAGCTTGAAAAGGACAACTTCTAAATGTTATGCAGTGAAAACAGCTAAATATATCCAAATTTGCACTTTAGTAACCACATTGTGGGCCTGTTACAATACATAAATCATGACGGATTTGAAGAATATCCACTTTGTTAGATCAAATTGGTTGAATGTGTGCCAATAAAAGCGTTCTACGTTCCATTGATATGTTATATTCTTCAAGAATCAATGGCTTTATATCATTAATTTAAAAGTCAGAACCAACCACAGATTGCCCTTTTAAGAGAGAGCTAAAGGCAATGCATCTTACCCTAAGAAACATAAATGTACATTCCCATTACTCCTCTCAGGTGGCACTCACCATGACAGGGTGGCCTCGGCAGCATCCTTCACCCTCATGGAGGCCGGATTGTGCTCCTTGTCCCCTTTGTACCTCACTTCCTGGTCACCGGTCTTAGACTTACTGCCTGATATGCCCAGCTCCACAATCTCCAGCACCTCTATCAAACAGTCCTGCAACAAAATACTATGTAATTGCATGGCACAAAAGTCGGGAGGTGAGTTTAGACTTTAGAGAGCTCAGCTCATAAGGCAGAGAATAATGACTATATAAGAGTCAATCATGACATGATGTTAATGGAGGATTTGGGACCATTTGAATGAAGATTGATTCAAAGGGGAGATTTGACCCACACTTCCCACAACTCAAAAGGTTGATATTTGCGTCTATAGTATTTAGTAGTAGCGTAGTCCAAGGGGTAAATCCTAACTTCCCCTTAAGTCTAATTCCCACTTCGTCATGCATTGAAATATCAATGAGAGACAAAGTGAAGAGAGACTCTTCTGTCCATGCTTAGATGGACAGAACAGTAAGAGTACTATTCAGTACTGTAGGTAGAAAGGAGGTGGTGTTGTTGTTCCCCTACCTTTTCGTTGAGCATGTCGGGGTGCTCCGTCAGCCACACACACAGGCACTGGAAGGCCGCCACGATCATAGAGTGCAGGTCTCGGGAGTGGAGGGGGGCTGGCCGGCTGCACTGATACACAATATAACTGCACACCGAGCTGACCGCACGTTTACGGTCCGCAGACTCCACACTCGCCCTCACCTGAGGAAGACCTTATTACTGATGAATGCGTTTTTTTTTTATTGATGTGTGTATTTTCTGTAATTTATGTAATTCTGTAAAAGAGACCTTGGTCTCAGTATGACTCCCTGATAAAATAAAGGTTAAATAAAAATAAATAGGCTACTGTTTGTCGTTTCTCATACTATCACTAAGATGGGAAAGTCATGTTGGCAAGTCATGGAGTGCTGTGCCCTTGTAGTTATGATGTAGGGCCCACACACCAATGGTTCCAACCAATATTTTTAATTAGGTAATTCACAACGTTTCCATCCTTGTCTTGGAGCAACTGAGTGTGCTAGCGAGCAAACCACAATAACTGATATATGCATTTGACTCTATGTGCTAGCAGCGTAACCTTGGCCAGGCCAGCACGTCAGCAGCTTCAGGGAGGCCAGGGAGATGTGAATCTTCCCGTAGCAAAGCGTTTTCAAATGTTGCAAACCATAAGGAAATGCGCATCTCCACCTACCTGGACTTGTCCAATAAGAAACACTCATTCTTCATCCCGTTGCAAGATGTTTGAAAATGTTGCATGCCTTAATGAACAGGACCCTGGGGCTCTTACCTTGGCTAGGCCGGCCAGCAGCTCCAGGGCGGCCAGGGAGATGCTCATGTCGGGCCTCCACTGGGAGTTGAGCCTCTGGGTGACCAGGTGGATGCTGCGGATCAGCAGGCCGGCGGCTGTATCTGTGTGGAGAGCTAGGGAAATGACCCCCCCAGATGACGACACCATACCCCGAGCAGAGAAGGAGAGCTGGGGTTAGTAACTACCGGACCAGGCAGAGCACAACTAATAAGCATCAGAAACACACACACACACACACACACTTAGGCCTGTACACACACACAGCAACCGGCATGTCGACAGTACTGTATGAGGACAAACAGGCACACCCAAACCATTGTTAATTGAAGTAATGGCTTTTTTGGTAGGTGTGAGGTTAGATATTGTGGTTGTATAAACCAGGGTTGGGGGTCAAATTCAGTTTTCAACTCATTGAAATCTAAAAATCCTCATTAAAAATGTTAAATTCATGAATTCACACCAACACTGGCATAAACCATGTCCAACGTTCCTTTTGCCAATAAAGTTGTAGCCAAAACTAGGACAATTTTATCAACCAAGAACATGCATCTTTATAAAAAATAATAATAATCAAAGAATCAACAAATAGTGTTGTATGTAAGTGTTTCACTTGTCTTTCAGACGCTTAGAAGTGTTAAAATTTAGATGAAAGGCAACAGTTAACATTTCAAAGTTTTTCAAAGATTCTGTTTGAAATAAACTTGTCAGAGAACACATAAGATATTGCAGAACAAATGCTGCACACAAGAGGGAGCCTGCATTTAGTGGATTTTTTGTGGATTTTCAGCATATTTGCCCATTATCTACTTATTATAAAAGATATTTGCAGCCAGTCAGTGGGAATAACTTGGGATGAATCTCAATTGTATGTCCTTGATTCCTCATGTCCTCTCTCCTTACCACCTACTCAAAATGCATTGGAGGAGAAGATCCTAGGGACGGAACCTCAGATCTTCTACTCCAATGTGCTTTGAGAAAGAGACAAGCAAGGATTATGTGAGGAATCGAAGAAATGCAATGACATTCAACTCCAGGTCTTGGTTCATATTCCAGCTCCCATAAAACGACATGCATATGCTGAATACCATAACGCATGCAGTTAAAGAAGATGTTTATGAACAAGTTGCACACGCTGTATAGAGAGAAGAGCTTGCAAGTGACAATACACACAACTGTCTCCATTCTGATAACAGTAGTATAGTATCATTCAAATGACACTGCATCACTGCAAATATGAAAATAATAATGCTTTTTTGGTTAATCAGGGAATCACCTTTACTCAACGTGATATATGTCCACTACACAATTAAAGCTTGGCTGACAGGAATGAAAAAAGGTGAAAACACAGTGTCAACATACAAAACGATAAAAACATTTTTGTTTTTACATTGTGCCCGTCTAGCTTGTTACACTAGTTAAGAAACTTTGCTAAGGCCTCATCTTCAGAGCTACTAACAAGGAAGGGCTGAGGGTTGGTTGATTTTGGCACACCTAGGTCCAAATGTAATTTGTTTCCTTTTAAGATTCTTCAGGTGCGCATGATTGAGCTTCCCTGGCACACTTGTGCCAATTAAACATATTAACCCAGGTCAGGATTTTGGAAAAGGGCTCATGAGTGCGTTCTCGAAAGGGGCTCACCATAGTCTCTGAGGAGGGCCTGGGCGGGCCTCTCGCTGTCGGGGGTGGTGGCCTCAGAGCTGCCCCCGCTGGCGTTGCTGATGCCACTGTTGTTCCTGCTGTGGCTCTTGGCCAGCGCATGGCTGCCGTCCACACTGCCCTATTGGGGTGGCATTAGAATGTTCAGCAGTCATGGTCTACTCAGATGATTAAAGGAATATTTTACTAGAAAAAACATTTTAGCCTTTTGTTCATTAGTCCACTATTGATAAGGTCCCTTAAACATTTTTGGGGATAAACAGTGGACTAATGAACAAAATACTAAAATATGTTTGAGTAAAATATCCTTTATTTAACAAGGAAAGACCCTTAAGGTTAGAAACTTATTTTATGGGGGCGACCTGGCAAGAGGTCATCAATAAATCTGTATTTAAAGGTACCATAATTTTTTATTAAATGATCTCTCTTAGCTACATGTGTAGTTAAGTTTGCTTTATTTACACGTCTTTCTAGTTGAGTGAGCGTTTCTACAGCGTGGAGTACAATAGTCTTACCACCTCCGCTTGGGCACCGATGGACTCCAGGAGAGCAGAGTCTTGGACAATGTTGAGCATGGCACCTGTACAGAAAAAAGGCCTTTAGTCTTTCCATTCTAGTTATGGAATTATATTAATTGATTCTGTATTACGTAAAAAGAGAAAGACATAAAATTACACATTAATAAATAATAATACATTTCATTTATAAACACATTTTTCATTGTAAACAATCAAAGTATTTTTGTTGTTGTTGTTGTTGTTGTTGTTGTTGCTGCAGATAAAATTGAGATCAACTAACCCAGGATCATCTGCGTGTTGGTGGGGTCCGTCTCCGTCTGTAGGGCTCCTATTAGGATGTTGACCAATCGCAGCTTGAGGGAGAGGAAGGTGACGGCCTTGTCGTGCAGCGAGTTGTCATCATTGCTAAATTTGCCCTCCAAGAGCACCTGGAACATACAAATGATTCATGAGGTTTACTTTGCACTTAGGCAACCTCAGAACTACAGGGCATTGCAAATGATTAACTAAAACAGACAGTTTAGTCGAAATCCTGAACAAGACAAAAAAATTCATGTTGAGATAAGTCCAAGTCCCGGTCCATCTATTGTATCTATAGGCCTTAATCGAAAATGAATGTTAAATATAAGTATAAGAGATATATCATTTCCTAATTTATAAGAGATATATCATTTCCTAATTTTATGCTAATCTTTTCCATGTAATTGGGTTTGATATTAAGCATATTAGCGGTCTCTACACAACCGATGGTATGATGGGACTCGGTATCATCTTGAAAACTACGAGCTCTGAAAAATATCGGACAACTTCCGTTTTTGAAGTGTGCTGTCCCTTTAATTAGAAGAGAGTTTAACAGGTTTACCTCTGACTTGACCGTGCCAAAGTGGTGTGGCAGAGGCAGCATGGACAGCAGGATGTTAATTGAGGCTCTCCTCAGGTCAGTTGGGTTCACGTAGGTCTTAAACTTTGACAGCTCTCTGGAGGGAGGAAAGAACAAGTTAAGTTAACTCAAATGTCAAACATTCAAAAGATACAGCAGTCAGATACCATGTTTAACCAACAATCAATTGTCCACTGATAAGACTCTCAAACAATTGCTTACATTTACATTTGAGCTCGTTTTAAGCATTTACAGTTTGTTAATTTCTGGGCATTTCCCTTGTGTGACAAACATACAAAGGCGGCATACTTCACCCTAAGGGCTAAACAAGTCTATTCTGGTCAAAACCGCATTCCTTATTCATGCAGATGTCCTTAACACAGAAATAAAAAGACCATTTGACTTGAACTGTCTTTCAAACATCATAAGACTAATTAGACAAGGTACATTTCCTGAGGAAAATGTGTGTGCTTGCGTCAACTGTACAAGCAGTAATGATGTCACGATTTTGCTTTAACACTAATACCAGGTTAAGTATCATGATACTCGATACCAAAACGATACCATCATCTCCAGAACCACCCTAACATCAACATATGTGAAAATAGCACGTTTCAATGTTTTGTAGTAAAAAAGATTGTAGATAAGTGTTTCAAATGACATAATCAACCATTTAGTAGACAATTAGTAGGCAATGCCTACTCATAATTGGTTAAAAATCACACGATGCACACCAATGATGTCATTGGAAACGCATCTTGCTCTATCTGTTAAAATAGGGCTCCAGAATTTTCGGAATATTATTTTGTTCAATTACCTTTATGGGCACCAATATCATAGGGTAATTTATTTGGGGCCAATTCACCATGAGTAAGGGGAAACTCAAAACACATTAACTAGATCGCTAATGTTAAACATAACACCCACTGCTGGTAGCTATGTATTAATCTAACAGAAAATGAAAGGTCTTAAAACTTTGCAGTTGTAGCCTACTACCCAATGAGTCCTATGCACTCACAATGGCCGTTGCGTATTTCGCGCGCTCCGTATTTCAAAGCAAAATCAAATATCTTGGTGGTAAAATAGTTGCTATAGAGCTAAATATTGAGAAATACAGTGACAACATTAGTTGCTTCCAAAGCTGTATTTTTCCCGCAATTGGATTTAACTGTTATAGCCTACAAATGCATTTTTTCTCTCAGAGTGCGGGGGAGAGGAAGAGAGTGGCTCTCATCACAGCAGCAGGCCTGAGTGAAACAGCCGCAGGCAGAGACTTTCATTACAGGAATCATAAGGATAATGCACATTACTGTTTGACCAAATCATGGTTTTAGCCTCCTAAAATAATAGGACGTTTGGAGTGAGGTGACCATGTAGAATGCGACCAATTAAAAAAAAATAACTCAAGTTAAAGGGTCGCAAAATACGACTTAATGGTCAGTCTAGAGCCCAGCCTCCTGTTGACCTGGATGGAATCATGTGATCCTTCCTTAACACATACGGGTTTCAGCCCATGCTAAAACTGGCTTTTGGGAACTGGAGTCCTCTATCCATCTCTATGATCTGATCTACAGTAGCCAAGAAGAATGCTAGGAGTCTTTCTGTAGCCTATTCCTAATATGTTTATAATTGAAAGTTTGCCTAAAATAAGCTCAGCGAGTGAACTGATGAGTACTTCTTTTTTGCTAGTCTGGACAGTTCCTGTGTGCCGTATTGAATGCATCAACTCACTCACGTACTGCTTATTCAATTGTGACTCGCATGGTGGTGTTTGAATGAATGGCCAATCATATTGCTCAATTCTAGCTTTTTCCATGTGTAATCTCAACAATGCGGTGCTGACTGGGAAGCGACACTTTTCTATGGCAGACTGTGACAGAGCGCATAAATGTCGAACTAGAACGGCAAATGCGCTGAGACGTTACTGGCCTGGTCGACAAATTACTAGACAGACTTGATCCTGTCATTCAGTGTACGGCGTGAGACATCTGATAGAAGAACTGAAAGTAACAAATCTTGTCCCGAACCGTTTCTCATGTTGTAATATTTGTTTCTAATAAGCAGTATAAGTGGTGTCAGCGCAGGAGAGTACAGAATAATGAGAAGTATGGGGAATAAACAGTAGTGTTCTTTCAGCAAGTACACCAAATATAGATGGTGCATTCCTCACCGGTCAGGGAGGATGTTCTCCAGAGCTGAGATGAAGTAGGGGACCACCACATTGATGCCCTTAAGGTCGGAGCAGAAGAGGGCTGAGGAGTTGAGGATGATGCTGGCCAGCACCGGTCGGCAGATGTAGTCGGAGATCTGGAGGCCCTGGATCAGAACCATGTAGAACCTGGGGGAGGAAAGAGACCGGAGGAGTCAGTCTGAAGCTAGAACACGTACATGGAAAAGCTGTGGAAAAGGGGAACACAGCCATGTGGAACAGATTTAGAAACTTCATAGTTTAAATAACTACATTCAAATTTTACCATGTTAACTATGTTACTACACTGAACAAAAATATAAACGCAACATGCAACAATTTCAAAGATTTTACTGAGTTACAGTTCATTGTAAGGAAATCAGTCAATTGAAATAAATTCACAAGGCTTAATCTATGGATTTCACATGACTGGGAATACAGATATGCATATGTTGGATGAACGGCACGACAATGGGCCTCAGGATCTCGTCACGGTATCTCTGTGCATTCAAGTTGCCCTCTATAAAAATAAATTGTTTTAGTTGTCCATAGCTTATGCCTGTCCATACCATAAGCCCACCATGGGGCACTCTGTTCACAACGTTGATATCAGCAAACCGCTTGCCCACACGACACCATACACACAGTCTGCAATCTGCCAGTTAAAGTTGAAACCGGGATTCATCCGTAAAGAGCACACTTCTCCAGCGTGCCAGTGGCCATCGAGGGTGAGCATTTGCCCACTGAAGTCAGTTACAACGCCGAACTGCAGTCAGGTTAAGACCCTGGTGAGGACGAGGAGCACGCAGATTAGCTTCCCTGAGACGTTTTCTGACAGTTTGTGCAGAAATTCTTCAGTTATGCAAACCCACAGTTTCATCAGCTGCCTGGGTGAATGGTCTCAGACCATCCCACAGGTGAAGAAGCCAGATGTGGTGGTCCTGGGCTGGCGTGGTTACACATGGTCTGCAGTTGTGAGGCCGGTTGGACGCACTGCCAAATTCTCTAAAACGACGTTGGAGGAGGCTTATGGTAGCGAAATTAACATTCAATTCTCTGGCAACAGATCTGGTCGACATCCCTGCAGTCAAAACTTGAGACATCAGTGGCATTGTGTTGTGTGACAAAACGGCACATTTTAGAGTGGCCTTTTATTGTCCCCAGCACAAGGTGCACCTGTGTAATGATCATGCTGTTTAATCAGCTTCTTGATATGCCACACCTGTCAGGTGGATGGATTATCTTGGCAAAGGAGAAATACTAACAGGGATGTAAATACATTTGTTCACAAAATTTGAGAGAAATAGGCTTTTTGTGCGAATGGAAAATGTGTGGGATCTTTTATTTCAGCTCATGAAACATGGGACCAACACATTCCATGATGCGTTTATATTTTTGTTCAGTATACTTTAAAAAATTCAATACAGAATCTGTGGAGATTTGGGTACTCATTTAAAAATACTTATATAATACTACTATACAGTGAGGGAAAAAAGTATTTGATCCCCTGCTGATTTTGTAGGTTTGCCCACTGGCAAAGACATGATCAGTCTATAATTTTAATGGTAGGTTTATTTGAACAGTGAGAGACAGAATAACAACAAAACAATCCAGAAAAATGCATGTCAAAAATGTTATAAATTGATTTGCATTTTAATGAGGGAAATAAGTATTTGACCCCTCTGTAAAACATGACTTAGTACTTGGTGGCAAAACCCTTGTTGGCAATCACAGAGGTCAGACGTTTCTTGTAGTTGGCCACCAGGTTTGCACACATCTCAGGAGGGATTTTGTTTCACTCCTCTTTGCAGATCTTCTCCAAGTCATTAAAGTTTCGAGGCTGACGTTTGGCAACTCGAACCTTAAGCTCCCTCCACAGATTTTCTATGGGATTAAGGTCTGGAGACTGGCTAGGCCACTCCAGGACCTAAATGTGCTCCTTCTTGAGCCACTCCTTTGTTGCCTTGGCCGTGTGTTTTGGGTCATTGTCATGCTGGAATACCCATCCACGACCCATTTTCAATGCCCTGGCTGAGGGAAGGAGGTTCTCACCCAAGATTTGACGGTACATGGCCCCGTCCATCGTCCCTTTGATGCAGTGAAGTTGTCCTGTCCCCTTAGCAGAAAAAACACCCCCAAAGCATAATGTTTCCACCTCCATGTTTGACGGTGGGGATGGTGTTCTTGGGGTCATAGGCAGCATTCCTCCTCCTCCAAACACGGCGAGTTGAGTTGATGCCAAAGAGCTCGATTTTGGTCTCATCTGACCACAACACTTTCACCCAGTTCTCCTCTGAATCATTCAGATGTTCATTGGCAAACTTCAGACGGGCCTGTATATGTGCTTTCTTGAGCAGGGGGACCTTGCGGGCGCTGCAGGATTTCAGTCCTTCACGGCGTAGTGTGTTACCAATTGTTTTCTTGGTGACTATGGACCCAGCTGCCTTGAGACATTGACAAGATCCTCCCGTGTAGTTCTGGGCTGATTCCTCACCGTTCTCATGATCATTGCAACTCCATGAGGTGAGATCTTGCATGGAGCCCCAGGCCGAGGGAGATTGACAGTTCTTTTGTGTTTCTTCCATTTGCGAATAATCGTACCAACTGTTTTCACCTTCTCACCAAGCTGCTCGGCGATGGTCTTGTAGCCCATTCCAGCCTTGTGTAGGTCTACAATCTTGTCCCTGACATCCTTGGAGAACTCTTTGGTCTTGGCCATGGTGGAGAGTTTGGAATCTGATTGATTGATTGCTTCTGTGGACAGGTCTCTTTTATACAGGTAACAAGCTGAGATTAGGAGCACTCCCTTTAAGAGTGTGCTCCTAATCTCAGCTCGTTACCTGTATAAAAGACACCTGGGAGCCAGAAATCTTTCTGATTGAGAGGGGGCCAAATACTTATTTCCCTCATTAAAATGCAAATCAATTTATAACATTTTTGACATGCGTTTTTCTGGATTTTTGTTGATGTTATTCTGTCTCTCACTGTTCAAATAAACCTACCATTAAAATGATAGATTGATCATTTCTTTGTCAGTGGGCAAACGTACAAAATCAGCAGGGGATCAAATACTTTTTTCCCTCACTGTATTGTGTTTCTGTTTTGACTGTATCACAGTAAAACATGTGGGTACCTGGACAGATAAACGGGCAGTATCTCCTCGCCAGTCTTCTTGCTGCAGAAGATCCTACAGAGGGTCCCACAGGCCTCGGCCCGGCCCGACTCGTAGTTGTCGGGGAACTCGTTGGCGTCGAACATGGGATTGGACACCATGGTGTCTGTGGACATCTGGGAGCCCTTCCTCCTCAGCTCCACTCCCGTCTGAGTGGCCAGGGCTGGCAAGAGAGAGGGGGGGATCACAGGAATAGGGGGGAGAGAAGCACACAAATGGAGGGGGGTGAAGGAGAGAGGGTGGAGGTAGAAAAGAGAAAGGACGGATAGAGAAAGAAGGGGGGAAAGGAAAGTGGCGAGAGAGGACAGAAGACCGGCGGAGAATAATATGAGAGATAAATAATTTGTTATGAAACTGTGGCACTAAAAGGTCATAGGTCAAAAGCGGAAACCACTGACACAAAGTGCATATGAAAAGTACCTGTTTTTCAATTGAAAAGAAACTGCAAAAGTTGGGGGTAATTTTACATAATTTCCAATAGGACCTCTGTGAGCTCGGTGGTAAAATGAACAATTATTTCCAAATATGATGTTGTGCTAATGGAATCTTCCAATTGAGGATATTTACTTTCAAGTCCATTGTTACTTACTTTAGCCTGACTGCTCTACTGCTGCACCGTAGCGGGGGCGCACCATCCTGGCAGGACATTTCATCAAGGTTCCTTTCATGTGAAGCTGCACTATAGGTCTCCATCCCAAATGGCACTCTATTCCATACAGCAGTGCTATTAGCCCCGGTCAAAAATAGTGCACTTAATAAGGAACAGGGTGCCATTTGAAACGCACCCCATATGGTTTGAAAGGGAGCATTTACAATACTTCTGCCTGGGCATTTTGCTCCGCCAACAACAACTGATTTGGATTACGTAAAGTTTCATTATGCTTTCTGAGCCAAAAAGATATGTAAAACACACAGCAGCCTCTTTTGTGAGCTCTGTGTAGCAGCCTACAAAGAGCTGATACAGGTGAATATGTTTTCTCATGAATGGCTAAATTCAGTTTGCAATGTCTACTTATTAGCTCCTTGGAAATTCACACGAGGCACGATATATAGCACAGATATATGGAACAGACATCCACCACATGCATGGTGTAAAATACAGTACATACAAATTCAAGGTAATCAACTGAGGAGCAAATTAAGCCACGGAAGAAAAACTGAACGTTTGTTGGTTACTTTGGGAAAATAAGTATTAGTGTGTGAGATCGTTTGGGGAGGACATTACATGTGTATGATCCAGGTGTAGCAAGTCAGTTTGCTTCCAGGCAGAATGTGGGGTGGTTTGGGACTGGAAAGTTCAGGGTTGTATTCATTAGGGCATACCATAGCAAAACGTTTTGCGACAGAAAATGAAAACAAGCGTTTCTTATTGGACAGGTTCAGGTAGTCCCTCTCCTTGTTTCCGTCTGTTTTCTTCCATTTGGTGCCTAATGAATACACCCCTGGCAACCTCTTCCCCACCCCACCCCACCCACAGGAAGGAAATGGACACGTTCCCCAAGAAACAGTGCAGCAACAACGACTCAGTGGCGATGACAAAGGGCACAAAAAAAAAAGAAAAGCCAATCGAATACAGGAAAACTGCAAGTTAAAAAATTTACGGGAAGCTTGTATTCCTACTTACAAGATTTATAAGAAAGAAGAATTTGGACAAATGTAGCTACAAAATAGAAATAAAATGGGAAACAAATCAAAGAACAGCAGTGATATGATAAGTTATGTCTTATTCGTGCTTCAAGGACTTTTCATTGTGATATTTCTTAACATCAGTGTCATCAATGTCAACAAAGATATTGATAGTCGAAACAACAATCATGACAAATAACCAACATGCAAAAACTGAAAATTAAAACTAAACCTGAAGATTATGAAATAGGCCTCCTGGATTAAAAAATATATAATTACTCAGCTCAGAATAGAGTTTAAAAACAGTTTCTCTTGTCAATAAAGTTTAATGAAAAATGCAACAGCCTAGATTAGGGGTCGGCAACGTTTCTATGACTGGAAGAGCCATTTTTTCCACACAAAATATTTTGTTTTGAGGGAGCCGCAGAAGACATTCAAGCCCTTTTCATGTGCAATGGTGGCAATAGCACCACAGATAACAGTCGGATCAAATTACCACGAAATCTGACATTCAGTGTCACAGAGCAGAGCATTGAACACAGCGGCTGTCTGGTGAAGTTGCAGAGAGAATCAAATCTTGTGAACATACAATAACATAGCGATATGACTTTTGGATTTAAAAACCTACCAACAAAGGAAATATTGTTCTCTAGTGATTAATTGAAATACCCACATCAAGCCCAGCAATAAATGTAATAATAATTTGCAAAGAAAAAGCCATATTATAATAAAAATAAAAGATTAAGATGGGCAGTCTGAGATATGGCTTTTTCTTTGCAACTCTGCCTAGAATGTCAGCATCCCGGAGTCGCCTCTTCACTGTTGACGTTGAGACTGGTGTTTTGCGGGTACTATTTAATGAAGCTGCCAGTTGAGGACCTGTGAGGCACACTTAACCAGCATGGCTACCACAGCATTCTGAAGCGATACGCCATCCCATCTGGTTTGCACTTAGTGGGACAATCATTTGTTTTTCAACAGGACAATGACCCAACACACCTCCAGGCTGTGTAAGGGATATTTGACCAAGCAGGAGAGTGATGGAGTGCTGCATCAGATGACCTGGCCTCCACAATCACCCGACCTCAACCCAATTGAGATGGTTTGGGATGAGTTGGACCGCAGTGAAGGAAAAGCAGCCAACAAGTGCTCAGCATATGTGGCAGTTGAAGTCGGAAGTTTACATACACTTAGGTTGGAGTCATTAAAACTCGTTTTTCAACCACTCCACAAATTTCTTTTTAACAAACTATAGTTTTGGCAAGTTGGTTAGGACATCTACTTTGTGCATGACACAAGTAATTTTTCAAACAATTGTTTAAAAGACAGATTATTTCACTTATAATTCACTGTATCACAATTCCAGTTGGTCAGAAGTTTACATACACTAAATTGACTGTGCCTTTAAACAGCTAGAAACATTTCAGAAAATGATATCACGGCTTTAGAAGCTTCTGATAGGCTAATTGACATCATTTGAGCCAATTGGAGGTGTACCTGTGGATGTAATTCAAGGCCTACCTTCAAACTCAGTGCCTCTTTGTTTGACATCATGGGAAAATCAAAAAAATATCAGCCAAGACCTCAGAAAAGAAATTGTAGACCTCCACAAGTCTGGTTCATCCTTGGGAGCAATTTCCAAACGCCTGAAGGTACCACGTTCATCTGTACAAACAATAGTACGCAAGTATAAACACCATGGGACAACGCAGCCATCATACTGCTCAGGAAGGAGACGCGTTCTGTCTCCTAGAGATCGTACTTTGGTGCGAAAAGTGCAAATCAATCCCAGAACAGCAGCAAAAGGTCCTGTGGATATAGATACTTTTGTACCTGTTTAATTTTTTTATAGGAAAAACTCCCCAAATACAGGTGTGCCAAGCTTATAGCGTCATACCCAAGAAGACTTGAGGCTGTAATCGCTACCAAAGGTGCTTCAAAAAAGTACAGAGTAAAGGGTCTAAATACTTATGTAAATGTAATATAAATCAGTTTATTCTTTATAAATTTGCTACAAAAATACAACAACCTGTTTCTGCTTTGTCATTATGGGGTATTGTGTGTAGATTGAGGGGGAAAAAACAATTTAATCCATTTTAGAATAAGGCTGTAATGTAACAAAATGTAGAAAAAGTGAAGGGGTCTGAATACTTCCTAAATGCACTGTAATCTATAAATAGCCAGGGAGCCGCAAGAGAGGGGTTGAAGAGCCGCTAAGAGCCGCGGGTTGCCGACCCCTGGCCAAGATCAACTGAAAGACCACAGTCCATCAAAATGGAGGATAGACCTCAAAACAATGATACTGGCTACCATCCGACCCATTTCTCACAATTGAAGATGAATACTTATATTATCATCATCATCTGCAATAGGTGGTGGCAAACACATTAAGATTGACTGCATTCCCAAATGAAATTCCCTTTGGTAGCTATTGACACTATTAACTGTCCATTACTAACAGTAAGACCAGCTCAGGGTTTTGTTTGTCGAGAGGCGAGTGGCAGCTTGAGCTCAGCCTACAATCCTGGATAAATCAACACCATTACTTTCACACACCTCTTTGCCTGCTACTTTATCCAACTGAAGACCACCACTTGCTCATATCCCATGCCAATTGAAACTGGCTCAATAGTGCCGCAGACACAGCCACACATGTATACAAATGTAGGATCTTAATTTGATTACTCTTTTGTTGCTGAGAATTTTCCTTTACCGCAGGAAATGCAGATGAGCTTCATGATTTACATAAATTCACTGAAAACACACAATAATACACGGTTATATTAACAGTATTGCACTTTTCATATAGCCTAATTTTGGCTAGCTAATAGCCTAACCACCTATGAAGCAACATTATGGACGAAACTATCTATAGCCTGTTGTTGCAGGATTATTTTGCTGCGATAGTACTGGTCAGATTAAGATCTGACATCTGTATACCATTGACTTGATCTCTCTGCTACCTTTCTAGTCTCCTCTTTACTGTCCAGTCCCAATAAAACCATCAAAAAGAAACCTGTTCAATAATGTAAAGAAAGAGCCTGAATAGAAAAATATATAAGAAAATTAATTTAAACAAAAATAACACTCTGGGTGCATCTCAATAGTTTGAAGTGAATTCATCTTATTGTTTCATTTGCTTCATATGCACTGGTGTGAAAGAGCCGAAATGTTGAATACCATTTCCCAGATGAGCATCCTCCATATCCCTTTCAAATGGGCCACATTCAGTAAATTATTGGAATAGAGCTGACATTATTGTTCTATATAATCAATTTCTATACTGAACAAAAATATAAACGCAACATGTAAAGTGTTGGTCCCATGTTTCATGAGCTGAAATAAAAAAATCCCAGAAATGTTCCATACGCACAAAAAAGCTTATTTCCCTAAAATGTTGTGCACAAATTTGAAGATGATTAAACAGCATGATCATTACACTGGTGGACCTTGTGCCGGGGACAATAAATGCCACTTTAAAAATGTGCAAACAATGCCACAGAGGTCTCAAGTTTTGAGGGTGCAATTGGCCCTTTTGTGGGGAAAAACTCATTCTTATGGGTGGGTATATGCCCTCCCAGGCCCACCCATGGCTGCATCCCTAGATTAGGGCCTAATTTATTTATTTCAATTGACCGATTTCCATATTTGAACTGTAACTCAGTAAAGTCTTTTAAATTGTTGCATTTATATTGTTGTTCAGTATATATGAATGTTCCACAACATACCCTGCTTTTCACATTTTGCAAAGCTAAAGAAGAGGCTACAATAAAGGAGAGGAAGGTTCTTTAGACTATTGAGTACAGTACAACGCAATTCTAGTCAAACCAGTTTTTGACCAATTGTTGACCCTTAACCTCTGACCCTCGCCTTACCAGTCATGCTGTTGTCCCGGCTCAGGCCCGTGTGGAGCTTGCAGTGCACCAGCGCGGCGTCAAAAAGCCACTGGCCAAACAGGTTGAGGACACTGTTGACCTTGGGCCTGGTGGGGGCGGGCAGCGGCCGGGGCTCCGAGCTGGTCTGGTTGGGGCTGGACAGGGGGGAGGTGGAAGACGGCTGTTGGGACACTTTGGGTTGGTGTGTTATGCTCGCCTGGGTGGGTAGGGAAGGAGGGTGATAGATAACCAGGAATTTATTAAACTATCAAACTGGCACAGTAAAAAAATGAATATTCAGTCACATTAACATTTATTCACATTTTTTCAAACATTGGAAAAAACATTATTTGGCAAAGGTATGAAGTCTTTTTCCCATTTTACTTCAGTTCTCCATTTAAAATCTGATACAAATGGGCCAAATTAGGAAAGACCAATAAACAGCAGCTCATAAGAAGTACAACTGAGACTCTGGGGTAGGAACCTACCGTTGAGGTTTTACTGGCCGTCTTTGTGACCCCTGTGGGTTTGTGGCGGCGGCTGTGAGGGGGCGTGGTGTTGGTGGTGGGCGGCGGCATGCTCAGTCTGTTGACAGGGGTGGGCGGGGCACTGTCCGACCGAGGACGGGAGACACCTGAGGGAGAGAGAGAAGGGATGAGGCACAGAAAACATTCAGCTGTTTGAAGTGAAAACAGCAACAACCAAATCGCGGCCCGTTTCCCGTCCACTGGAGGGCGATGTTAGTAACATCAACGGTGTGTCATTTTTGCGTTTCACCTTTCCTCCACCGACAGAAAAATAACAGCTCAAAATGCACAAGCCATCTCATGTGGATGGATGTCTTCTTTGTTGCGGGATACTCACCACAGATAAAGGAATGTTAAAAATAAAAATCCACAGAGAAAAATGTCACATTTTTCGCTTCATCGCCTTGGGGCGGCTAGACGACCAATTTTGATTGACAACAGTTAATTTATTCAGAAGCTTGGCATAGCCTATCAAACAGTTACAGGCATATACTTACTGTCCACACTGACAACACTATTCCTGAGTACCACTCTCCATAAGTTCAAGCATAGTGGTGGCTGCATCATGTTATGGGTATGCTTGTAATCGTTAACAACTGGGGAGTTTTTTAGGATAAAAAGAAACGGAATGGCACTAAGCACAGGCAAGATCCTAGAGGAAAACTTGGTTCAGTCTGCTTTCCACCAGACACTGGGAGATGACTTCACCTTTCAGCAGGACAATAACCTAAAACACAAGGCCAAATCTACACTGAATGTTCCCGAGTGGCCAAGTTAGTTTTTACTTAAATCTGCTTGAAAATCTATGGCAAGACATGAAAATGGTTGTCTAGCAACGATCAACAACCAATTTAACAGAGCTTGAAGAATAACGGGCAAATGTTGCACAATCCAGGTGTAGAAAGCTCTTAAGAGATTTACCCAGAAAGATTCACAGCTGCAATCGCTGCCAAAAGTGATTCTAACATGTATAGGGGGTTGAATACTTATCCAATCAAGATAGTGTTTTATTTTTCATGAATTTTTTACACAAATGTTAGAAGTTTTCTTCCACTTTGACATTAGTATTTTCTGTAGATTGTTGAACAGAAATGACAATTACATCTATTTTAATCCAAATTTGTAGCACAACAAATATGGAAAAAGGTTGAGAGGTGTGAATACTTTCTGAAGGCACTGTACATCAAAATAACAAGAAATACAGGGGTAGAGAAGCAAGGTTTTTGAGACTGTTTGTCGCCGCTGTCCTGATAGTGATTATGGATTCAATTGTTTTGGACACAGCCACTAAGTGCATGCAACAGCTAGCTTCACCACACAGTCAGTTTTTGGTGAACCCCAGCAAATCCATCAAAATGCTTCAGCCCCCTTTATGATTGGTTGGGAGCACTCTACTAATGAGTACCATAGGAGGGCATGGAGGAAAGCCTTTCTTTGAAGTTGTTCCTAGACACAGCGAAACCTGAGGGAAAGAAAGCGGTCAAAGCTTTCGCAGCTTGTCATTCTGACACAGTGAATAATGTATTTTTCCTAGATGTGTAAGGATAGGTTGTTTTTGTGACTGTAGAAGTGTGGCACCATTTGCTATTTGTCTTATGCCCAAACACCACTATAGGGAATCTTGTTTGATATATACATAAACCCCTGTGTGATGTTAGTGATTGGATTTCATTGGGTTAGGTCTGGTTTAGTGGTGTACCTAGAGAGGGAAGTTTGTCATGTATATTGGTCCTAGGAGACATTGTCACTCCTGAGGGGGAGATAGACACTAGTGGTGTTTCTGGGAAAGAAGAAAGAAAGAAAAAGAAAAAAATGAAGCAGAAACACAAAATTATGGATTAGTTATTGGGCTAAATTACTGTTAAACAACTCAAGCTATGTTTGGTATTTATTCGAGACATTATATGTGTTTAGGCACTGTAGAACATAATTGGCCACATAGCTAATACTAGTTTGTGATTTTCAAAATGAAAACTGACACATTAACCAAAATAAAAATCTAAGAAGTGCTGCGCTGCCGTTTCTTTAAACATGGGGATGTCAAGAGATTTAGGGAGGTATATAGCCATCACCGTGACAGTGCTTAGATGACGTATAGGGCAAAAATGCAGGGAGGTCTGCTTGATGGTTGATTATTATTATTATTTTTTTTACATGGTTGAAGTCTTCCACTATTATTAGGTGCAGGGCAATGGGCACAAAGCTTTTTGAACAAGTCCGGTTCTTGTTTAAAAGCCAGTGTACAGGCAAATACAATGTGGTGGGAGAACCCATTAATGTAGTTGCTGGTCATAAAATCAAGGTTTTACATTTACATTTTAGTCATTTAGCAGACGCTCTTATCCAGACTTACAGTTAGGGAGTGCATACATTTTACTAAGTAAAATAACATATTTCCATGTTTTACATGATCAATGTCCACAAAATCTAAACCCTTTTACCCCTGATTTGAATGACAAAGTTTATTGAGTACCATAGGAAGGCAGTTTCTCTCGAATCTCTCTCTTTGCGAGTCCGACACCTAGCGAGGAGGAAACATATACATGACCTCTTAGTTAGATGTGATCCAGCAAAACATGAGGACTTGTGTAGATATGAAAGTATTGGATAGGTTCAAGTAACAGGGCTAAATCTCCAGCCTATTATGGGAGAAGATGGAACTACTACCATACCTATACAATGTTTTCAGGGCACGTATTCAGAAAGCGTCTCATAGTAGGAGTGCTGATCTACGATCAGGTCCCCCCTGTCTATGTAATCTTATTCATTATGATCTATAAGGCAAAACTGATCCTAGATCAGCACTCCTACCCAGATGCCTACTCTAAACTATTTCATGAATACTATTTCATGAATACGGGCCCAGATCTACATTAAGTGCCTAGGGCAGGGTTCTTCAATTCCGGTCCTGGAGGGCCGAAACACTTCTGTTTTTAATTTCTACCTGGTAGTTAATTGCACTCACCTGGTGTCCCAGGTCTGAATTAGCTCCTGATTAGAAGGAGAGGATTAAAAACAGAGGTGTTTCGGCCCTCCAGGACCGGAATTGAAGAACCCTGGACTAGGGGAAAGGGCTAGGAGTTGTCTCTGGACAGGGCCAAAGTCAAATGTAACAGTATATGCAATGGAGAAAGAAAAATGATAAGGTGAGGTAGTCTTACCCAGGAAGGCATCCACCAGGCAGCTGACCCCCCGCATCGCCCTGAAGAAGATCTGGGGCAGCTGCTTGAGACAGGGGTGCTGCTGGATCACCTCCTGGGGCACGCCGCTCACCCCCAGCAGCTGCTCCTGGAACTTTGGCGTGGAGCTGACCGACAGCGGGTTGCTCAGGTCCACCGGGTTACTGCAAGAGGAGGAGAGGTAGGGGGGACTGTTAGCATAGGGGTGCAAAATGTTGGTCCTGGGCTGGATTTCCCAAAGTCTGTAGGTAAAGTAATATGTTATTTCTCTCCACAACCTAGCCGAAAACAACCGCTAGAGAGTAACAGTTCAATTGATGTAGCCCAATACAATATTTTCTCAGATCACTTTCTTGGACCATCTGGGAGAGTGTTCTAGAAGATCTTTAGGTTACATTTTTGGAGGTCCATTAAGAGTCTAGAATCATTTTCGGATACATTTTTATATTTTTTAGTATGTTCTTCATCAAAAAGACCTAAGAAGCTGCTCCCAGGATAGGTTTCTTAAATGATGATTGAAGAAAGTAATTATACTATTTAATAGGGGTGCAATTCCATAGAATACAGTATAGATTTTAACAGAAATACCTCCCATACTGTGCCACACATAACAGATAGCTAGCTCCGTGGGTCTCACCTGAGCATGTGCAGAAAGCGGAACCAGGTCTGAGCCACACAGTCGTTGTCCATCTCAGTAGGGATCATGTTGGCGTCCTCCTCTGGGACTTTGAACGGAGGGAAGGATGTACCGTAGGTGAACCGCAACAGTCTGTGCCGAAACAGAACATTGAATAAATCGTATGAGTACATTTACATAATTAATGCTTAATATTAATTTGTGCTTATAATCCGCTAATAGTCCATTATCAAATACTTTAACCATTAGTAAAGTGTTTATAAATAATCCTGCATGTACGTGTACAGTGCCTTCAGTAACTATTCATAGCCCTTTACATTTTGCTGTGTTATAAGCATGAATTCAAAATGGATTAAATCAACAAAAAATCTCACCCATCTACACACAATACCCAATGACAAAGTGAAAACATGATTTTAGAAATGTTTACAAATTTAAAATGAAAAGCAGAAATATCTAATTTACTTAAGTCAATACTTTGTAGAAGCACCTTTGGCGGCGATTACAGCTTTGAGTCGTGTTGGGTATGTCTGTATCAGCTTTGCACATCTGGATTTGGGGATTTTCTCCCATTCTTCCTTGCAGATTTTCTCAAGCTCTGTTAAGTTATTGGGTAGCGGCAGTGAACAGCAATCTTCAAGTCTTTCCACAGATTTTTTATGGATTCAAGTCTGGGCCACTCAAGGACTTTCACATTCTTGTTCTGAAGCCATTCCAGCGTTGCTTTGGCTGTATGCTTGGGGTTATCGTCCTGTTGGAACGTAAATCTTCGCTCCAGTCTAAGGTCGTTTGCACTCTGAAGCAGGTTCTCATCAAGGATTTGTCTGCATTTGGCTCCATTCATTGTTCCCTCTATCCTCACCAGTCTCCCAGTCCCTGCCGCTGAAAATCATCCCCATAGCATGATGCTGCCACCCCCATGCTTTACGGTAGGAAAGGCGTTAGACGGGTGATTAATTGTTCCTGGTTTTCTCCAGACATAGCACTTAGCATTCAGGCCAAACAGTTCATTCAGACCACAGAATATTTTGCCTTATGCACTCAGAGTCTTTCAAGTGCCTTTTTTCAAACTCCAGGCGTGCTGTCATGTGCCTTTTTCTCAGGAGTGGCTTCCGTCTGGCCACTCTCCCATAAAGCCCAGATTGGTGAAGTGCTGTAGAGACGGTTGTCCTTCTGGCAGGTTCCCCCATCTCAACCAAGGAACTCTGTAGTTCTGTCAGAGTGGTCACTGGGTTCATGGTCACCTCCCTGACCAAGGTGCTTCTTGCGCAGTTTGGTCGGACGGCCAGCTCTAGGCAGTCTGGGTAGTTTCATATTTTTTCTATTTCCCAATGATGGAGATCACCGTGCTCTTGGAAACTTTCAACACTCTAGAAATGTTTTTATACATTGTAGAATAATAGTGAAGACATCAAAACTATGAAATAACACATATGGAATCATGTAGTAACCAAAGAAGTGTTAAACAAATCAAAATATATTTTATATTTGAGATTCTTCAAAGTAGCCACCCTTTGCCTTGATAACAGCTTTGCACACTTTTGGCATTCTCTCAACCAGCTTGATGAGGTAGTCACCTGGAATGCCTTTCAATTAACAGGTGTGCCTTCTTAAAAGTTACTTTGTGGAATTTCTTTCCTTCTTAATGCGTTTGAGCCAATCAGTTGTGTTGTGACAAGGTAGGGCTGGTATACAGAAGATAGCCCTATTTGGTAAAAGACCAAGTCCATATTATGGCAAGAACTGCTCAAATAAGCAAAGAGAAACGACAGTCCATCATTACTTTAAGACATGGTCAGTCAATACGGAAAATTTCAATATCTTTGAAAGTTTCTTCAAGTGCAGTCGCAAAAACCATCAAGCACTATGATGAAACGGGCTCTCATGAGGACCGCCACAGGAAAGGAAGACCCAGAGTTACCTCTGCTGCAGAGGACAAGTTCATTAGAGTTACCAGCCTCAGAAATTGCAGCCCAAATAAATGCTTCACAGAGCTCAAGTAACAGACACATCTCAACATCAACTGTTCACAGAAGACTGCGTGAATCAGGCCTTCGTCCTTGAATTTCTGCAAAGAAACCACTACTAAAGGACACCAATAAGAAGAATACTTGCTTGGGCCAAGAAACACGAGCAATGGACATCAGATCGGTGGAAATCTGTCCTTTGGTATGATGAGTCCAAATTTGAGATTTTTGGTTCCAACCGCCGTCTCTTTGTGAAACGCAGATTAGGTGAATGGATGATCTCAAGTCTAGTCAACCCAATTGAGATGGTTTGGGATGAGTTGGACCGCAGAGTGAAGGAAAAGCAGCCAACAAGTGCTCAGCATATGTGGGAACTCCTTCAAGATTGTTGGAAAAGCATTCCTCATTAAGCTGGTTGAGAGAATGCCAAGAGTGTGCAAAGCTGTCATCAAGGCAAAGGGTGGCGATTTGAAGAATCTCAAATATAAAATATATTTTGATTTGTTTAACACTTTTTTGGTTACTACATGATTCCATATGTGTTATTTCATAGTTTTTATGTCTTCACTATTATTCTACAATGTAGAAAATAGTACACAAAGAAAAACCCTTGAATGAGTAGGTGTCCAAACTTTTGACTGGTACTGTATGTAAATTACATATATTTTTTTATCATGTTCTCTTATTTAGAAAATAATAGATGATATCCAAAACAATTAACAATACACTGAATTCATACATATTCAGTCATATAAATTGTAAACACCATATCACAACTAATTTTTCTAATCTGGGAGGTAAACCCAGTAAAGTATTCAATCATTTCGCTGTGTATTTCGGACAGAATCAAGGCATTAGAATGTACCAGAGGCTTGTCTTAACCGCCAGAGGGGAGCCTGGCTGGCTGATTTTCTATTTGGCTGGATACTCCATGTGCTTGTAGAAAACACAGATTAGTGGTTGACAGAAATAACTCCTACTGCCTGTCTTACATGAAGGTGTCCAATAAGTAAGCTCACATTTGTTTAAAAAAGTTAACCATATGTTTAAGCTTAAACAAAAGCCTGCAATCCCAGGATTGGCGACCACTGGTCTTGTTGTGGTGTGGCTACCTGGAGGTGAGGGCGGCAATGACCTTGCTCCACTGCTCCACCACGGGCGGGTGGTGCCTCCAGTTGGCCAGCATCTCCCTGGCCGTCTTCCAGTAGGGCGGTGTGGGGAAGCAGCGCATGCAGGCCAGGAACCACACCTCGAACAGCACGCTGATCAGCTTCTCAGCCAGCTTCTCCGCTATTCCACCTGAGCGAGTTGGCGGATGGGGGACGGGTGAGTAATGATGAATAGGAAGAATGGGTGAATTTGCATAATCCAAAATGTCTAGGTGTAGAAAAACACAGGGGAAAAATGCTCCCGCACAGCATCATAATTTGCATCTAAATAGTAATATTAGCAACAAAGTTATTTAATTGAATCAAAGCCAAAAAGATTATGCGGCGAATCCTAACATCCACGTATTAGTCATGGTTTGATATCAATGGGATAAAATGTGACCTAAGTGGAAGTTAGGAATTGCCCCACGACACTACAAAAAGTACTCTAATTGAATCTGTTCCGGTGGGCTGACCTCCGACTGTGGGCGGGGCCAGCAGGGTGTCGTTGATGCGCAGCAGGAAGAGCAGCAGCACCTCCCAGGTCTCCCGGGCCATGCCGCCGCCCGATTCCCTGGCCAGCTTTTGCACCGCCGTCAGCACCTGTTGGCACAGCCGGAAGTGCATGGGGCTGTAATGCTCCGGCCTGAGAGAAGGAGTTAAAGAAAGAGAGTAAATGGACCGTTTTATAAAGGGAAGCGGTAATATACACGCCATTGACTATTCCCTCTTCAATGCTCCGTTTCCTCTAAGCCTTGTGATTTAGTTTGATGAACTAATGGAGGGAATCTGTCCCTATTTAGAATTACCATGTTATTTAAGCAATCTACTACAACTTCTTGAGGTTCAAATAATATCTTATTGGTCGCATACGCATATTTAGCAGACGTTATTGTTGGTAAGGCCTTAACAGGATAGTTCACCCACCTTACAAAATAACATATTGTTTTCCTTACCCCGTAAGCAGTCTATGGACAAAGTATGACAGCAATCCATGTTTTGGTTTAGTTTTCCTGGCACTGTTTTCAAACGCTAACGTTTTAGCATTTGTGGCACAAATCGCATGCAAGTCATGGTACCTACATTAGCATTTTTCGCACAGCATCTCCAAATCATCCTAAAGTATCTAAAATTGATAGTTTTTTTTTTTTTTTTCTGGGGGATGGATCAGCTTAATATTGCAGATAGATTGTATCTTCTATCAATGTAATTGTCTGCATCACTTCCAATCCCCCATGTTTTATATATATATACTCTCCTTTATTACTTTTCAACCCCGCGATCCTTTCCCTACTTGGGAGTAAATTAGTGAACAACAATGCCCAGGCCTCTACTTCCGGCCTATACTTACTATCTACACCTTATGGACACAGTTAATTTTACAATAATTCTATTATATATATATATATATATATATATATATATATATATATTTTGCTCCTGAATTTCTTCTACTCTCAACCTCTCCGATCATTTTCATGATGTCCATCCGGTTTGCTTCTATATGCCATATCCTTCTAACTGTGCTCTTTTCCAAAAGCTCCCAACATACAACCTATATACTTATTATGGACACAGTATGCTTATATTATTAGCTATCTTTGTTATTATTTGTTGTTATTTGTTATTAGTCTCATCCTTCAACTCTATTCAATACATCCCATCTATCTCTTAACACCATCCATATAGGATTTCTATTTGCCATATATATTTCAACCGTAAAATGTATTGTTTAGCTAAACAAAGTCACTTATAGATGATTTAGTTATGATGTGCGAAATATTAATGTGAGTACCATGACTTGCATGGGACTCTCCTGCTATCTCTCTCAGAATGACCTTCTTGATTCAAACCAGTCAGGTTTCAAGACTGGTCATTCAACTGAGACTGCTCTTCTCTGTGTCACGGAGGCTCTCCGCACTGCTAAAGCTAACTCTATCTCCTCTTATCCTTCTAGACCTACAGTGGGGGGGAAAAGTATTTAGTCAGCCACCAATTGTGCAAGTTCTCCCACTTAAAAAGATGAGAGAGGCCTGTAATTTTCATCATAGGTAGACATCAACTATGACAGACAAAATGAGAAAAAAATAATCCAGAAAATCACATTGAAGGATTTTTTTATGAATTTATTTGCAAATTATGGTGGAAAATAAGTATTTGGTCAATAACAAAAGTTTCTCAATACTTTGTTATATAACCTTTGTTGGCAATGACACAGGTCAAACGTTTTCTGTAAGTCTTCACAAGGTTTTCACACACTGTTGCTGGTATTTTGGCCCATTCCTCCATGCAGATCTCCTCTAGAGCAGTGATGTTTTGGGGCTGTCGCTGGGCTTTCAACTCCCTCCAAAGATTTGCTATGGGGTTGAGATCTGGAGACTGGCTAGGCCACTCCAGGACCTTGAAATGCTTCTTACGAAGCCACTCCTTCGTTGCCCGGGCGGTGTGTTTGGGATCATTGTCATGCTGAAAGACCCAGCCACGTTTCATCTTCAATGCCCTTGCAAGGTTTTCACTCAAAATCTCACGATACATGGCCCCATTCATTCTTTCCTTTACACGGATCAGTCGTCCTGGTCCCTTTGCAGAAAAACAGCCCCAAAGCATGATGTTTCCACCCCCATACTTCACAGTAGGTATGGTGTTCTTTGGATGCAACTCAGCATTCTTTGTCCTCCAAACACGACGAGTTGAGTTTTTACCAAAAATTTCTATTTTGGTTTCATCTGACGATATGACATTCTCCCAATCCTCTTCTGGATCATCCAAATGCACTCTAGCAAACTTCAGACGGGCCTGGACATGTACTGGCTTAAGCAGGGGGACACGTCTGGCACTGCAGGATTTGAGTCCCTGGCGGCGTAGTGTGTTACTGATGGTAGGCTTTGTTACTTTGGTCCCAGCTCTCTGCAGGTCATTCACTAGGTCCCCCCGTGTGGTTCTGGGATTTTTGCTCACCGTTCTTGTGATCATTTTGACCCCACGGGGTGAGATCTTGCGTGGAGCCCCAGATCGAGGGAGATTATCAGTGGTTTTGTATGTCTTCCATTTCCTAATAATTGCTCCCACAGTTGATTTCTTCAAACCAAGCTGCTTACCTATTGCAGATTCAGTCTTCCCAGCCTGGTGCAGGTCTACAATTTTGTTTCTGGTGTCCTTTGACAGCTCTTTGGTCTTGGCCATAGTGGAGTTTGGAGTGTGACTGTTTGAGGTTGTGGACAGGTGTCTTTTATCCTGATAACAAGTTCAAACAGGTGCCATTAATACAGATAACGAGTGGAGGACAGAGGAGCCTCTTAAAGAAGAAGTTACAGGTCTGTGAGAGCCAGAAATCTTGCTTGTTTGTAGGTGACCAAATACTTATTTTCCACCATAATTTGCAAATAAATTCACTAAAAATCCTACAATGTGATTTTCTGGAAGAAAAAAATTCTCAATTTGTCTGTCATAGTTGACGTGTACCTATGATGAAAATTACAGGCCTCTCTCATCTTTTTAAGTGGGAGAACTTGCACAATTGGTGGCTGACTAAATACATTTTTCCCCACTGCATCTGCTGCCTTTGATTCTGTGAACCATCAGATCCTCCTCTCCACCCTCTCCAAGTTGGGCATCTCCGGCGCTGCTCACTCTAGGATTGCGTCCTACCTGACAGGTCGCTCCTACCAGGTGGCGTGGCGAGAATCTGTCTCCGCACCACGTGCTCTCACCACTGGTGTCCCCCAGGGCTCAGTTCTAGGCCCTCTCCTATTCTCTCTATACACCAAGTCACTTGGCTCTGTCATATCCTCTCCTATCATTGCTACGCAGACGACACACAATTAATTTTCTCCTTTCCCCCTTCTGATAACCAGGTGGCAAATCGCATCTCTGAATGTCTGGCAGACATATCAGTGTGGATGTCGGATCACCACCTCAAGCTGAACCTCAGCAAGACGGAGCTGCTCTTCCTCCCGGGGAAGGACTGCCCGCCCCATGATCTCGCCATCACGGTTGACAACTCCATTGTGTCCTCCTCCCAGAGTGCAAAGAACCTTGGCGTGACCCTGTACAACACCCTGTCGTTCTCTACTAACATCAAAGCTGTGACCCGATCCTGCAGGTTCATGCTCTACAACATTTGCAGAGAACGACCCTACCTTACACAGAAAGCGGCACATGTCCTAATCCAGGCACTTGTCATCTCCCGTCTGGATTACTGCAACTCGCTGTTGGCTGGGCTCCCTGCCTGTGCCATTAAACCCCTACAACTTATCCAGAATGCTGCAGCCCGTCTGGTATTCAACCTTCCCAAATTCTCTCATGTCACCCCGCTCCTCCGCACACTCCACTGGCTTCCAGTTGAAGCTCGCATCTACTACAAAACCATGGTGCTTGCCTACGGAGCTGTGAGGGGAACGGCACCTCCTTACCTTCAGGCTCTGATCAGACCCTACACCCAAACGAGGGCACTACGTTCATCCACCTCTGGCCTGCTAGCCCCCCTACCTCTACGGAAGCACAGTTCCCGCTCAGCCCAGTCAAAGCTATTCGCTGCTCTGGCACCCCAATGGTGGAACAAGCTCCCCCACGACGCCAAGATAGCGGAGTCACTGACCACCTTTCGGAGACACTTGAAACCCTACCTCTTTAAGGAATACCTGGAATAGTATAACAGTAATCCTTCTAAACCCCCCCCCCCCCCCTAAAAAAAATTGAAAAAAAGGGGTGGTTGTCCAACTGGCTATCCTAAGTTGAATGAACCAATTTGTAAGTCGCTCTGGATAAGAGCGTCTGCTAAATGACTTAAATGTAAATGTAATTTGTGCAACAAATGCGAAGAGCCCGACCTACAATCCAATTAGATGCGAACTGCACGTACTGGACAAAGACTGGGACGCCACTCTTGGGAAGGCAACAGGCAAAAAGCCATGGCTCCACGGTGCGACAATGGGAAAAAGTCGACCCGGGCCAAAGACAGGGTTAGGTAAATAAACCTGCAAAACCAGTGGGAAGACTGCAGGCGCAAACAGTATACGCATAAACGCTCAGGGATGCCAAGGACAGTAGTAAAGCGAAAGATGGAGGAATATTACATCTACACACTTTTCAGCAGATAAAAGCTGCTATAAAAATGATTCTTAAGCACAATAGACACGTCCCAGAACGAGCTAAAAGCTTAGAGACTGGGCGTAAGTTACGTGCCCCCCTTAGAGACGCAATACTGCTTCCCTACAGGTTTGGCCTGGTTCAGGGGCTTAACCAGAGTCTTGGCAGACTGCAGCATCGCCGGGGACCTCAGTGCCGCAAGGCCAGTCTGTTGCCCACTCCCAGCTGTGAGGCTGGGGCGAGATGCAGGAACCAACGGAATGCCACAGGGCCCAGGTCTGCGGGGCTGGCAGTAGTTGAAGGCTTCGCCTTCTTTCTTGCGCATGTCGGCTATTGAAAATAGAACCCAGTAGAAAATGGGTGATTTCATAGCGAACTGAAGCTTGTATCTGTGCTTGCGTGTCAATTCTCCGCTATGAGAAAGAGCTGTCCACAAGCCTGATGACTCGCACTCACCAGATGTAGTGGGGTGGCACCCCCTAGTTGCGTCAAAGAGAGACACTTTTATCAAAATATCATGGCCCTGTGCCCTTGTTACGAAGGGACAGAGAGTGATGCATTTCTGGAGGCACAGTGCTGTTAGGCACGGAGTGGGAACAGTGCTTGTTGGTTTAGCACAAGCCGGTACTCGTTAAAACTTAACACTCGCAGGACTTGTTGCAGACCTGCATGAGCATGTTAGTTTCCCATTGCAGGGCCATAATAACTCTGGGGGAAAAGCATTGCTTAACCGGGTTATGCGTGTGCTAGTCGACGCTTAGCTGTGAGGCATTTGGTGTTAGCTAGCTAGTGTTCACCTAGCTAGTTAATAGCCTAGCTAGTTAGTACCACGTTAGCCGAAAACAACAACATGAATAGAGTTGTTTCTTCGGTCATGAGAGTCTCTTTTGATCATAGTAACGTGAGGTGTCGCTGGTCAGTTTAGCCAACGAAAACGGGTGAACGTTAGGTGTACTAAACGAGAGAAACAAGCTGGCCAGTAGTAGCTAGCTTTTCAGCATTGCTACGAATTAACCTTGACAGGCGTGAGCTAGGCATCTGCTGAAGCATGCACTGTGTATGAATGCTATAGCTGTGAGGCTAGCGTAGGCGTTAGCTAGCTAGAAACGACCTCGTGAGGCTAAGGGTAAGCTATAGCTAGCACAGTGCTAGCCGAACAGCATGGGTGCGTTGTTAGAATTCGTGATGAAAATGTCCCACGACCATAATGGCGTAAGGCAAACCGTCTAGTCTAGTCAACACAAACGAGTGAACGTAAGTTGCACTAAACAAGAGAAGGGAGCTAGCAATACTACAGTCTGGGCAAGCAGGGAACTTGTTTCCGAGTTACCTAGCCCTGCTAATGCAACCATATGTGCAGGTAGGAATGCTAGTGTGGTTAGCTTGCTTTCCAGAAAGCTAGCCACTATAAGCTAGCTAGTAGAAGCCTTGCGGCTAATGCTAGCTAGGATGAGCATAATAATGTGTAAGCTAGCTAGCAGCTACCTCGTGGCTAAGGTATGCTGTAGCTAGTATAGTGCTGGCTGAAGGGAACCGCGTGGGGGCAGTTCGACTTCGGTAGGTATTCTCTCACGACTACAGAGCCGTGAGGCTAGCCAGTCAGTCTAGTTAACACAAACAAATTAACGTAGGTTTAACTACACTAGAGAAGGGAGCTAACAATATGACTGTGTTGCAGGTAGTAATGCTGGTTTGGTTAGCTTGCCTGGGCGTTAGCTAACTGGCAGCTACCTCGTGGTGAAGGAGTGTTGTGGCTAGCTCAGTGCTGGCTGAAGGAAACTGAGTGGATGCAGAGTTAGCCTTTAGATAGCGTGCTCCCGCAACCGACTGAGCCATGAGTTAACACAACGGGTGAATGTAGGTTAAACTAGACGAGAGAAGGGAGCTAACAATGCTACCATGTTGCGGGTAGGGTTTGCTAGCCGTGACACTAGCTACCAATGGTGACTGAGAAATAAAAATACATTTCTACACAAAACAAAAAACCTTCCGGTTAGTACTCAACCTCTCAACAGGGTCTGAAGACCTACGCTCAGCAGCGATGTCCTTCACGGTTCACTTGTAGCAGGAAAACAAGTATCCAGTCGATATGAGGAGAACTAGAATAGAGATACTCTTTGTGAGGAAGAGAAACAAAAATTACCAGAGGCCAGGAGAGTGGCTCCTTTTATTGGAGTGGGGATCTCACCTCATTCACCATTCTACCAGTCTCCAACATATGTTTTTGATTGGTACTTTTGGGATTAGGCAGTCCATAGTGAACCCCCATATGTGATACATTGAAACAAGTATTTGAAAGAGAACCAATGTCATTTTGTAATTTGGGTGAGCTATCCCTTTAAGGTCAAGAAATTGTAGTACGTTACATAAGATATCCTCCATTAGTTCATCAAACCAAATCAATACACAACATCATCCATCCTCAAACAGCTTTTGTGAGTGGCCAGTATGCAACACACAACTTAGACACACCGTTAGCGGTTAGCCAGAGCGTAGACACACAGTTAGCGGCTAGCCAGAGCATAGACACACAGTTAGCGGCTAGCCAGAGCATAGACACATAGTTAGCTTGTACCTGGGCAGAAAGAGGTTGTGGAGGTGTTTGAGGATGGTCTGCACGTAGAGGTTGGGCTCCTTGGCGATTGGCTGGGGGATGGAGTCGCGCGGAGACACCAGCGCCATAATCCAGTCCGTGTAGACGTCCACGCACAGCTTGACTGTGTCCCCGTCCAGAGGCAGGGTCAGACCGTAGCACAGCACCTCCATCGTCCATTTCACCTGTCAATCACACCACACCAAGAACTCTGCTGTTAGAAAGAGACATTGCGCAATGGACTGCTGCAAGCTAGACAGTCAGATGTCAAGTCAGTCATTGTCAGAATACTTGGGGAAAGGGAGAATGAATGACTTAACACTTGAAAGATGACCACAATAAGATTAACTATTGGTGCATCAAGGTAAACCATTTTCTTTAGGCTTAATTATGCTGATTGTAGTGAAATTAACTTATTTCAAACACAGGGGTAAAGGGATGGTTCATCCACATGAGTGACCGTGACTACATGTAGCATTCTAAACCTAGAGTGTGGATCAAAGCTACTTTCAAAAATGAATTCAAGTAATTCAGAAATGTAGGTGAACTAGGCCTATTGCCTGGTGGAACCAGCCTGATTGCTGTGTTCACCCTTCTGGCATGTCTCAAAACACAGCAATCAAGCTGGTTCCGCCAAGCTAGGTGAACTACCGTCTTTATCTACCAACTACAGGGTTCTACACTATTTTTTTCGGTTGGTGGCACCAGCACATGATTTGGTCGCACTGATAATTGATAATGACCTGGCCTGTGTCCCATAATGTGCCTGCATTCCATACAGAACCAGGCTAATAATGACTAGCCATCTTTTAAATTAGCATGCCCTTGTGTTCTTACATTGATTTGGATAGATTTACTGTAACAGCAAAGAAAATAGACTTAAAATATAGTGCTAAATGCGAAATTCTCTAGAGGGCAGAATCTGAAAAAAACTATACTTGACACCAAAACGACACCAAAACGGTACTAAAAAAAACTGGGAGAAGGACTGAACAAAAACACAATAATAGAAAAACAACAAAATTGGATGTTCTAAGTTCACAACAATGCTTAAACCACATAAGGGGAATTTTTTCTTGAAAATCTGAGAAATGTAGATTTTTTTGTGTAGTAACACTAACTCAGGTGAGCACCAGCCAGACAGTTGTGCTTGGCTAGCTGGGTTTCTGCAGCGCACTTGTGATGGAGTTTTCAAAACAAATTGATGCAAATAATGATGATTCTGCCAAGTAGGCATAAGCTACTTTGTAGTTATTTACCTTTTAATGGCCTTTCCATCTACCCGAAAATAGTAAGGTCATCATTAGCATCTCTAACGGCTACACAAAGTGGACATATAGGCCCTATGTGTACCGCACACAAAGCACTTTTCAAGCACTTAAGTGTCATTTTCAAGGACCTACACTTTATATTTAATTGTTGTAATAGCCTATTTAAAAAAATAATAACCCAAAATGTATCCAAAAAAGTATGCATTACCACTAAGAATAATGCATTTTTTAATAGGCCTACCCAATGGGGGGGGTACTACTAAGCTATATGTAATTGTTTTAAGGTCATACCAAAGATAATTTTGCTATTTGATTTTGAACTTTAAGACCCCTTGAAGTATAAAAAAAGTAATGTAAAAAAGGATTTAATGAAAACACATTATTTTTGTCACTAAACAGTCTCCATAATATACGTCATTAAATTTGTTCAACTGTTACCGGGGGACCTTCAGACGAGTCCTGTGAGGTCGGTGGGCATCCTAGAGCAAAACAACCGACATGTACGTGTTCATGAGTCTCACCTTCATATTAGTGTATAGCCCAAAATGTTTGGACGCTACAGACAGAAGTTGGCAGATCGGCTGTACCGACTTCAGTTGAGTCCCAAGACGTGGGGGTCGTAGAGCCAAACTCAGAACACCATCGTGTTCGTGAGTCTCTCATCTTTCCTTAGAGATCTCATAATAGTTTGTAGGCTAAACCATTCGGACGCTACAGACGATTGTGTGAGAAGGGTGATTTTCGGGATGTCTCATGGTCTGTCACCTTTCACCGCAGATGCGGAAGTGTTACATAGGCGGTGGATTGAGACATCCAATGCAAAAAACTGCTTAAACTGACAGATTATTATTTATTTTTTTACCCCGTTTCTCCCCAATTTCGATCTTGTCTCATCTTGTCTTGCAACTCCCCAACGGGCTCGGGAGGCGAAGGTCGAGTCATGCGTCCTCCGAAACATGAACCGCCAAACCGGACTACTTAACACCCGCCCGCTTAACCCGGAAGCCAGCCACACCAATGTGTCGGAGGAAACACTGTTCAACTGACGACCGAGGTCAGCCTGCAGGCGCCCGGCACGCCACAAGGAGTCGCTAGAGCGCGATGAGCCAAGTAAAGCCCCCCCAGCCAAACCCTCCTCTAACCCGGACGATGCTGGGCCAATTGTGATACAGCCCGGGATCGAACCCGGATCTGTAGTGACGCCTCTAGCACTGCGATGCAGTGCCTTAGACCGCTGCGCCACTCGGGAGGCTCAAACGGACATATTTTTAATGGGGATTTTTGTATTATGCTAAAGCTGGAGACTCTTAACTCCCTCACTAACTTTAAGCATCAGTTGTCAGAGCACCTTACCGATCACTGCACCTGTACACAGCCCATCTGAAATTAGCCCACCCAACTACCTCATCCCTATATTGTTATTTATTTTGCTCTTTTGCACCCCAGTATCTCTATTTGCACATCTAGCATTCCAGTGTTAATACTAATTGTAATTATTTTGCACTATAGCCTATTTATTGCCTTACCTCCATAACTTGCTACATTTGCACACACTGTATATATATTTTCTGTTGTATTTTTGACTTTATGTGTTTTACCCCATATGTAACTCTGTTGTTGTTTCTATCGCACTGCTTTGCTTTATCTTGGCCAGGTCGCAGTTGTAAATGAGAACTTGTTCTCAACTGGCTTACCTGGTTAAATAAAGGTTAAATAAAAAACATTAAAAACATTGATTTCCACGGGAGCACGGACATCGACCTTAGGGGGTTAAGAATAAATAATAGTCCACACATGCTAGGACGTGATAGTCCGGCGTCCCATTGTGACATAGCTACACGGCTCAGAGACTACCATCTGCGGGGGACGTACAGCACAAAAGCGCCTCCCCACAATTCCCAACCAACGCCTCTCTAGTACATGTCCTCTATTCATTTGAATGTGTTGACAGTTGGAGAAATTGCTTGAAGCGTAAATCATAGTCCACATACGCTAGGACGCGATAGTCGAAAAGTATGAAAGCCAATGGTCCAATATTCTAGAACACTGCTGTGTGTACGCGTACATGTTTTGGATGATAAACGCTGCGCTGAGAATTCGAAAAGTATGAACGCCAACGGTCCAATATTCTAGAATACTGCTGTGCATACACGTTTGGTAGTCTGATAGACCCTTTATGCATTGACATTCAAATTTTTACATTCTAAAATATGTCAAAATATTGTGGGCATTGCCTGACCAAATAGACAACATGCTCCCGATACAAACACACTAATGAAGTCTGTCCATGTGGTAGCTCGTCAGTCTCGCCCTTTGAGATCTTGAAGAGTTATTGAGGGGTTATCATGTATTTAAACGAGAAAGCGACCAAAAAACGGGTTCCCTTTGTAATGGAACACTTTGAATGGAAAACCAAGTTGAAGCCAACATTCGATGTTGTCTTGCTCATAATAGCTGCACATGGTTTTATCGCAACTAGCGCAACAGAAGCGAAGGAAAACAAACCTAAGCACTTACTTCGCTCATAGAAATTCATCATTTACAGTGCCTTCAGACAGTATTCACACCCCTTTACTTTTTCCACATTACATTTTAGTTGCGTTACAGCCTGAATTTTAAATGGGTTAAATTTTGATTTTTTGTCACTGACCTACACACAATAAGTATTCAACCCTTTTGTTATGGCAAGCCTAAATAAGTTCAGGAGTAAAAATGTGCTTAACAAGTCACATAATTAGTTGCATGGACTCACTGTGTGCAATAATAATGTTAACATGATTTATTTATGACTACCTCATCTCTGTACCCCACACATACAATTATCTGTAATGTCCCTCAGTCGAGCAGTGAATTTCAAACACAGATTCAACCACAAAGACCAGGGAGGTTATCCAATGCCTCGCAAAGAAGGGCACCTATTGGTAGATGGGTAAAAATAAAACAGACATTGAATATCCCTTTGAGCATGGTGAAGCTATTAATTACACTTTGGATGGTGTATCAACACACCCAGTCACTACAAAAGATACAGGCGTCCTTCCTAACTCAATTGCCAGAGAGGAAGGAAACTGATCAGGGATTTTACCATGAGGCCAATGGTGACTTTAAAACAGTTACAGAGTTTAGTGGCTGTGATAGGAGAAAACTGAGGATGGATCAACAACATTGTAGTTACTCCACAAAACTAACCTAATTGACAGGGTGAAAAGAAGGAAGCCTGTACAGAATAAAAATATTCCAAAACATGCTTTAGGTTTGGAACAAGGCACTAAAGTAATACTGCAAAAAATGTGTCAAAGCAACTGATGTTATGTTTGGGGAAAATCCAATACAACACATTACTAAGTACCACCATATTTTCAAGCATGGTGGTGGCTGCACCATGTTATGGGTATGCATGTAATCGTTAAGGACTAGGGAGTTTTTTCAAGATAAAACATTTAATGAATGAGCTATGCACAGGCAAAATCCTACAGGAAAACCTGGTTCAGCCTGCTTTCCACTAGACACTGGGAGATGAACTCACCTTTCAGCAGGACAATAACCTAAAACACAAGGCCAAATCTACACTGGAGTTGATTACCAAGAAGACAGTGAATGTTCCTGAGTGGCTGAGTTAAAGTTTTCACTGCTTGAAACTCTATAGCAAGACTTGAAAATGGTTGTCTAGCAATGATCAATAACCAATTTGACAGAGCATGAGGAATTTTGAAAATAGTTATGGGCAAATATTGTACAATCCAGGTGTGCAAAGCTCTTAGAGATTTACCTAGAGAGACTCACAACTGTAATTGCTGACAAAGGTGATTTCATTTTCAATATACTTGAAGAAAGTATGGGGTATAGTGTGTAGATGGGTGAAAACCTATTGAATCCATTTTGAATTCAGGCTGTAACACAACAAAATGTGGAATAAGTCAAGGGGTATGAATACTTCCTGAAAGCAAAACTGATCAGAAATGAAATCACAGAATAATTATATTGGAGCAGTAGAACTTATAAAATACCATAATACCGGCTACCATAACTTCAATTACTTTTCAAGGACCAAAATGAAATGTCTGATTTTAAAAAGGTAGGCTATTCCATGATGAATGAATTGCGCATCGCAAATATTTAACCAAGAAATTGAACTTTTTAAATACTTGGTTTGCATACCCATTTTTGCCTTAGCATTTACTAGTAGATATCATAACTTGGAAATCTTTCTTACTGCTTTCCTACCCCTAGTGCCGTCGGTCTTCACTCCACGCAACAAGCTGTTCGAGAGCTGCGCGCTCTCTCTGCCCGACAGATTTTTATACAGTGCCTTCGGAAAGTATTCAGACCCCTGGACTTTTTCCACATTTTGTTAGGTTACAGCCTTACTCTAAAATTGATTAAATAGTTTTTTCCCCCCTCAATCTACACACAATACCCCACAATGACAAAGCAAAAAATGGTTTTTAGAAATTTTTGCAAATGTATTAAAAATTAAAAACTGAAATATCACATTTACATAAGTATTCAGACCCTTCACTCAGTATTTTGTTGAAGCACCTTTGGCAGCGATTATAGCCTCAAGTCTTCTTGGGTATGACGCTACAAGCTTGGCACAACTGTATTTGGGGAGTTTCTCCCATTCTTCTCTGCAGATCCTCTTAAGTTCTGTCAGGATAAGAGACTTATCTGGCAAACTAAAATTAGCAGGAAAGACAAAGAGGAGAGACTTAAGGCCATGCATGTATTCTTTGGCAGATGGCTTACATTTTCCTTTGCCTGGCCGTATTACAAACAAGCCTTATCTGGCTGCTGGGACTGAACTGGGGGTGAGCTCAAGGAGCCGTTGTCCACTGGGATGGAGAAACACTGTCACTATAAAGTCGCAGGGGTTGAATGCCCCGGGGGGATACACAGGAAATCCTCTCATTGTTATCAAGCAAGCCCAGAGGCCTGGGGCTGTCCGAGCTACAAGGCAAACATGATGGGGAAGTGAGCAGCACATTTCCCACAGACAAAAGGGGGACCGAGCTATTTTTCACCCAGCAGCAAATCAGAGAGAGAAGAGATTTGAAAACAACATAATTTACAGAGGGAGGTGGTGGTATGTGTGTGTTTTTCAATCAAGCGCAGTAGAAGAAAAGAAAACGTGGATGTAGCCTAGGCCTAATGTGCAGGTGACCGTTCAGCCTCCTTGGTTTTCTAAAAATAAGGGACTGACAAAGCCTAGCCTATCAAAGGTGTGTTGGGTTTATCATGTAGCCTATGTTTTTGAGGAAATAGGCAGAACAATGTCAAGATGAACTTGGAGCTAAAGAGGGAAGAAACTTTTACTTTTCAATTCTAATGAGTGGCAATGAAGTTGAGCTTGACATTAATACACCCTACCCATACCTACAGCAAAGAATCAAGTAGGCCTTGTTGGGGAACTACCATATCAACCCAACATTCCAACTTCACTTTCAACTGACAGCTTTAGCTAGCTTTAATCCCCTTGAATGTAGCTGTAATGTTGGGTTTCTAGGGTAGTTCCCCAAAATGCAATGTAAAATGGGCCATGTCAAGAAAGTCTTCACCCTTATGGCTTACACCTGCATACACATCTGATTCAGCCATGCAAAAACACCTGGGATGTTTTCAGCACAGTCTGCCTACCTCTTTGTCGGTCTTGAGCAGGCTGTCAGTGGACGGGGTGCCCAGGGTCACCCCCAGAGGTCTAACCACTGCATTGGCCACGTCGCGCCCCACCACCGGAGGGTACGAGTGAAGGACACTCAGGTGGCCTAGGTCGCTCTGCACCACCAGGTGCAGAGACCTCCATTCCGAATACATGGTGGTGGCTTTCGCTTCTACTGGGTCCAATTGCTACCTGTGTGTACAGAGGAGTGGAGTCAGCACATGGGGAAACAATAAAGTGGACTCAGAGCCAGCCTGATGTAGACTTATTAAAGCAACAAGCAGTTACAACAAATGCCCATTACATATAAGGTGGACCCTGATGCTTGATATTCCCATAAGTTGACATTCAGTTTGACCTTTTCATGTAGCTTGAAAAGTACAAATATGTCAAAGGCAAACTGTGTGAAAAAGCACATTTGAAGTAGACCCATGCTGTGAATAGGCTACATGACATTGAACAGAGAGAGCCTTGATGTGTTATCTCCAGAATGATCTGAAAGGAATGCTAATATTAACAGAAAGGGCTTCACTGAGAGTCCCAAATGCACTTTGCAAGTGACAAATAGTGGACTGGAGACAGACACTCAATGTTCAGGTGCAGAGCAGTAAAAGGTCATCTTGAAAAGCATAAAAGACATGCAAAGCAATAATTTAGTGCAACAATTTAGTGCACAGTTCGTTCTAGAGATAAGTTAGCTAGCTAGCTAGGTGAGCCTACAAATTAAATAGAAGTAACATATTAGCTAGCTAGCAAAGTTAGCTAAAGGTGTTTTGACTCAAGGTTAGGCCAAACCAAATTATCGCTGGGTAACGTTAAAAAGAGGCAACCCTGAACCCATTGACAACTGCATGATAAACTGTGAGACATCAGGGCCAGATTGCATGAGCCACAGACACACACTGGCTGTTTTGCTCTACTAGCTACACTGAACAAAAATACAAACGCAACAATTTCAAAGATTTTACTGAGTTACAGTTCATAGAAGGAAATCAGTCAATTGAAATGAATTCATTTGGCCCTAATCTATGGATTTCACATGACTGGGCAGGGGCGCAGCCATGGGTGAGCCTGGGAGGGCATAGGCCCACCCCTTGGGAGCCAGGCCCACGCACTGAGGAGCCAGGCCCAGCCAATCATAATTATTTTTTCTCCCAGAAAAAAGGGCTTTATTACAGACAAAACTCCTCCTCAGCGATAGGAGAAATTAACATTTGATTCTCCGGCAACAGCTCTGTTGGGCACTCCTGCATTCAGCATGCCAATTGCATGCTCCTTCAAAACTTGAGACATCTGTGGTATTGTGTTGTGTGACAAAACTGCCCATTTTAGAGTGGCCTTTATTCTCCCCAGCACAAGGTACATCTGTGTAATGATCATGCTGTTTAATCAGTTTATTGATATGCCACACCTGTCTGGTGGATGGATTATCTTGGCAAAGGAAAAATGCTCACTAACAGGGATGTAAACAAATGTGCGTATTGAACATTTCTGGGATATTTTATTTCAGCACATGAAACATGGGACCAACACCTTACATGATGCGTTGATATTTTTGTTCAGTATAGCTAATGCATTCAGAAATTATTCAGACCCCTTTACTTTTTCCACATTTTGTTACGTTACAGCCTTATTCTAAAACTGATTCAAGAATTGTTTCCCCTCATCAATCTACACACAATACCCCATAATGAGAAAGTGAAGTGGTTTTTAGAAAATTTTGCAAATTTATAAAAAAAAACTTTAAAAACGGAAATACCTTATTAACATAAGTATTCACACCCTTTGCTATGACACTCGAAATTAAGCTTTCCATTGATCATCCTTGAGGATGTTTCGACAACTTGAGTCCACCTGTGGTAAATTCAATTGATTGCACATGATTTGAAAAGGCACACACCTGTCTATATAAGTTGCCACAGTGCACATCAGAGCAAAAACAAAGCCATGAGGTCAAAGGAATTGTCTGTAGAGCACCGAGACAGGATCTGGGGAAGGGTACCCAAAACATTCTGCAGCATTGAAGGTCCCCAAGAACACAGTGGCCTCCATCATTCTTAAATAGAAGAGGTTTGGAACCACCTAGACTTTTCCTAGATCGTCCACCCGGCCGAACTGAGCAATCAGGGGAGAAGGGCGTGACCAAGAACCCAATGGTCACTGACAGAGCTCCAGAGTTCCTCTGTGGAGATGGGAGAACCTTCCAGAAGGACAACCATCTCAGCAGCACTCCACCGATCAGGACTTTATGGTAGAGTGGCCAGACGGAAGCCACTCCTCAGTAAAAGGCACAACAGCGCGCTTGGAGTTTGCAAGAAGACACCTAAAGGACTCTCAGACCATGACAAACAAGATTCTCTGGTCTGATGAAACCAAGATTGAACTCTTTGGCCTGAATGCCAAGTGGTCTGGAGGAAACCTGGCACCATCCCTACTGTGACGCATGGTGGTGGCAGCATCATGTTGTGGGGATGTTTTTCAGCGGCAGGGACTGGGAGACTAGTCAGGATCGAGGGAAAGATTAACGGAGAAAAGTACAAAGAGATCCTTCATGAAAACCTGCTCCAGAGCGCTCAGGACCTCAGACTGGGGCGAAGGTTCAACTTCCAACAGGACAACGACCCGAAGCACATAGCCAAGACAACGCAGGAGTGGCTTCACGACAAGTCTCTGAATGTCCTTGAGTGGCCCATTCAGAGCCCAGACTTGAACCTGATCGAACATCTCTGGAGACTTTGAGGTTTGTCACTTCCGTTTTGAGCGCGTCACTTATCTCCGTGCTACGCTGTTTGTTGCTGCTTGGCTACCTGCCAAACTTGACGGTTTTTACTTTTTTATCTCCGTTTAATCTATCTTCATTTAACACATTTTACCAACGTCTTAGTTATTTTTATATTTTTTACTCACTCAACTTTTTTCATTCAACCTTTTCACACCGGACGCTTTATCTGGACATGGTTCTACGGGACCTCCACCAGCCGAAGCTAAGTAGTAACATTAACACTATGCCATCTAATTGCAGTCGCTGTACTCATAATATACAGGAGAACTATCGCCTTATGGTGAGGATAGCCGTGCTGCAAGCACAGCTTCAAACGCAATCGTTAGGCAAGGCAATGTAAGTGTAGGAAAGGATGAAACAGCGTCTGTGCCACCAGTAAGTACAGATAGTAGTATAAATCCCCTCACACAGTCCCCGCAGCCGGACAATTTTCTCAAGGCTTCTGAAAAGAAATGCTGTCGGCATACTCAACCGGTGTCGCTCATTCAGCCGACAGAAACTTTCAAACGGTTCTCCCCATTAAGCTCTGACAAATTGAAAACCCTAGTCATTGGCGACTCCATTACCCACAATATTAGACTTTAAAAGAATCATCCAGCGATCATACACTGTTTACCAGGGGGCAGGGCTACCGAGGTAAAGGCTAATCTGAAGAGGGTGCTGGCTAAGGCTTAAACTGGCGAGTGTAGAGCGTATAGGGATATTGTTATCCACGTCGGCACCAACGATGTTAGGATGAAACAGTCAGAGGTCACCAAGAGCAACATAGCTTCAGCGTGTAAATTAGCTAGAAAGATGTGTCGGCATCGAGTAATTGTCTCTGGCCCCCTCCCAGTTAGGGTGAGTGATGAGCTCTACAGCAGAGTCTCACAACTCAATCGCTGTTTGAAAACTGTTTTCTGCCCCTCCCAAAAGATAGAATTAGTGATAATTGGCCCTCTTTCTGGGACTCGCCCACAAACAGGACCAAGCCTGGCCTGCTGAGGAGTGACGGACTCCATCCTAGCTGGAGGGGTGCTCTCATCTTATCTACCAACATAGACAGGGCTCTAACTCCTCTAGCTCCACAATGAGATAGGGTGTAGGCCAGGCAGCAGGCTTTTAGCCAGCCTGCCAGCTTAGTGGAGTCTGCCACTAGCACAGTCAGTGTATTCAGCTCAGCTATCCCCATTGAGACCGTGTCTGTGCTTCGATCTAGGCTGAGCAAAACTAAACATGACGGTTTTTGCCTTAGCAATCTCACTGGAATAAAGACCTCCTCCATTCCTGTCATTATTGAAAGAGATTGTGATTCCTCACATCTCAAAATAGGGCTACTTAATGTTAGATCACTCACTTCCAAGGCAGTTATGGTCAATGAACTAATCACTGATCATAACCTTGATGTGATTGGCCTGACTGAAACATCAAATCAAATTGTATACAGTAAAGTACAGAGCAATATCGAAGAGCCCTCACTGCTGCTTGATCATCCTATTTTTCCAACCTAATTGAGGAGAATAAGAACAATCCAAAATGTATATCTGATACTGTCGCAAAGCTAACTAAAAAGCAGCATTCCCCAAGAGAGGATGCCTTTCACTTCAGCAGTGATGAATTCATGAACTTCTTCGACGAAAAGATCATGATCATTAGAAAGCAAATTACGGACTCCTCTTTGAATCTGCGTATTTCTCCAAAGCTCAGTTGTCCTGAGTCTGCACAAAACTGCCAGGACCTAGGCTCAATGGAGACACTAAAGTATCTCTTGACACATTCATGAAAATTGTAATGGCCTCTAAACCTTCAAGCTGCATTCTGGACCCTATTCCAACTAAACTACTGAAAGAGCTACTTCCTGTGCTTGGCCCTCCTATGTTGAACATAATAAATGGCACCCTATCCATTGGATGTGTACCAAACTCACTAAAAGTGGCAGTAATAAATCCTCTTGAAAAAGCCAAACCTTGACCCAGAAAATGTAAAAAACTATCGGCCTATATCAAATCTCCCATTCCTCTCAACATTTTTAGAAAAAGCTGTTGTGCAGCAATTCACTGCCTTCCTGAAGACAAAAAAATGTATATGAAATGCTTCAGTCCGGTTTTAGACCCCATCATAGCACTGAGACCGCACTCGTGAAGGTGGTAAATGACCTTTTAATGGCATCAGACCAAGGCTCTGCATCTGTCCTCGTGCTCCTAGACCTTAGTGCTGCTTTTGACACCATCGATCACCACATTCTTTTGGAGAGATTGTAAACCTTAATTGATCTACACGGACAAGTTCTTGCCTGATTTAGATCTTACCTGTCGGGAAGATATCAGTTAGTCTCTGTGGATGGTTTGTCCTCTGACAAATCAATTGTACGTTTTAGTGTTCCTCAAGGTTCTG